TCAGTAATTGTTTTTATTCTTGTTTGTGTTGTTTTTGTTTATGTACTTAGTGTTCTATTCACTACTAGCGGCCGCCCGCGACTTCGTACGCGTGGATCCCGTTTTACCCCTTTCATCTATCTTACGCGGTTTAGATTTTTTCATACAAATGTTTTTTCCCGCTAACTCCCGTTCCCGTGAGAATTTTGCAATATCCTGTTGTAACTAAGCTTTAAATTTACTAAGGTACCTGCATGCCAAATTTCAAGCGTATATCTTACGTGGCTTAGATTTTTTCATACAAATGTTTTTCCCGCTAACTCCCGTTCCCGTAAGAATTTTGCAATATCCTGTTATAACTAAGCTTTAAGTTTACTAAGGTACCTGCATGCCAAATTTCAAGCATCTAACTTAAGCGGTTTAGATTTTTCATACAAAAGGATTTTCCCTCTTGTTCCCGTTTTCGCGGGAATTTCGGGAATTCCTTGTTGTAACTAAGCTCTAAGTTTACTAAGGTACCTACATGCCAAATTTCAAGCGTCTAACTTAAGCGGTTTAGATTTTACATACAAAAGGATTTTCCCGCTAATTCCCGTTCCCGTGGGAATTCCTTAGTATCCTATAACCTGCCCTGGAGTATGAAGAATAATTGTACCAAGTTTCGTTAAAATCCGTCGAGTAGTTTTTGTTTCTATAAGGAACATACAGACAGACAGACAGACAGACAGACAGACAGACAGACAAAAATTTTACTGATTGCATTTTTGGTATCAGTATCGATCACTAATCACCCCCTGATAGTTATTTTGAAAATATATTTCATGTACAGAATTGACCTTTCTACAGATTTATTATAAGTATATAGATAATTGGGTTACAAACATAGCTCTCGCTACGCATCCTCGCACATCTTTGGTGGAAAGGCAGCCTAACGAGCGGTTCGTGTCACATACAAGAGCTTTCACGTTTTTAAATTATTAAATTAAAATGTCGCCCACATGGTTTTGCGGTCGGTACATGTGACTAAAGTATATGTTATACTGTTATTGTAGGCATGTGTACTGTTATTGTATTTTGTACTGATATTGTTATTGTTGATATTATCTTGGCAAGGGTTATTGATGTTTGATTGATTGCTCAGCAAGCTCAATGAAGAAGTTGTGTTTTTAAGACGTCTTAGACTAGGCAATATTCTAAACCCAATCTGTAAACTGTATTTATACTCATACTATACCAAATCATAGCATCAATAAACGTAAATATATCTATTTTTGCAACTAGAATCTTTTAAAACGTTTACCCAGTACAACTTGACTCTTCATAAGTGGTAGAGTAAGACCAGAGTAAAGGGAGTACTTAAACCCCGCTTTCACCATCAATCCCTAATTTTTAAGTGACTTCTATGAAAACAAAATTCCTGTTATTTATGTCTTACCATAGGGGTCACTTAAAAATTAGGGATTGATGGTGAAAACAGGCATAAAACTGCTAGACAATAATGTGTTTTGAAAAAGCAGCGCATATATCACCCACTTTTGTGAAAAATAAAGTGTCATCAATATGCGAGCTACGCAGTAACATTCCAAACATTTTTTTGCTTAGGTACATAATTTATTATGCTGTACCCAGACTTGACACATTCAAGTCTCATTTTCTTCGGAATAAACTTTGTTTTAGTGCTTACCTTGAACAAGTCTAAAAAGTTAAATTACTATCTCAACAACAATTTATTCACTTAAATATTGAATAGAAACGTAGTTTGACGACGCCTGACGCGTGGTCTAACCTCAAGGGATGGTACAGAGGACAGCATTTCTTTTGTTTAAAAATCACCTCTATTACAACTACATTAGAAGCTACAAGTTTATCTTGAAGTGCCGTTGTCTGTACATAGACGTAAGAGCCAAATCACACGATCCGTTAGCAACTGAGCGGTGTCGCTGCGTCATCATAGGGCTTGAGCTACAGAGACATCCCGTTTTTTGCAGGACCTGTTTTTGTAGGATCCCATTTTAGTATTATTTGTGTTTTAACATTAACGTTCACAGTTCCTGTTTGCAGTGTCCCGAAAAAAACCGATCCGTTCGAATATGTAATTCGAATTTCATACACACTATGTGTGTTCACATGACAGTCCAGTTCCTGGATCCTGCATTACTGGTTCTCGCAAAACTAGATTGCTATGAGAACGAGCCCTTACATAGAAATAATGGCGGGCACGCGAGCGATGCGGCACCGCGTTGCGCGATTACACCAAAATCAAAAAACGGTTTAGTTTACACAAAAAAGTTACTTTTAACTAGGTTATTATATGGTTATAAGGAATATGTTGTGTAAATAAATAAATAATCTAAACAGTAGGTATATTTTGTAGGTAGTGAGCTAAACCTGGTTTGGTCAAAGGTTAACTTAGTTCGCAAGTGGGACGTGTAAAAGTGGTTTTTAAAGCCTATTTACAGAAATAAATGAGTTTTATGAGGTTTTTTTTTTGTGTAAGCAAGCAATAACGAAACATTTTTTTCAGTGCACGGCGAAATCTTTGCGTTACGGCGCCGCAACGCATCGTGTGCTTTGGCTCTAAGTCCGTAAATAAGTAACGCCCACTCGAGTATTTTGTTACTTTTTTCGCAGAGGCCGAGGTTACCAGCGTCTGGAAGTTTTCTTACCTGATGTTTATGTTAGCTGTTTTATAACATACGCATTAGACTTGGGAGGTGTTATTACGCCAGATACGAAAAAAATGGTCGCTTCATACGTTGATCCGATTGAGAAACTACTTTAGCGTGTGTTGTATTATTCAAATTGATATTCTTTATTGGTTTACGAACCCTTTTCAGGGCTTGTAGACTTATACAAGGTCTTGTCATTTAAATAATAATTTACTTTATAGTATCCTTTTGTTCCTATGTTAAAAATGTTTTGCATATTATTGGAAACTTTCGACTTTCAGGTGTATTTTTAGATATGAAAAAACACAACTCACAAAATCATTTGCGAGGTCAACTAGAAATATTCACCTAAACCGTTGTGAAAGCTCACTTTTCTTCACTAGTTTCTGAAGGAAGCGGATTTGTATACCCTCTATTAAGGCGCGGATCGGTCCTATCTTGATTGGCCCAAAAGTATGCAGATAAGAAGGATCTATCTGTCTTACACGCTCCGTGACTTACAAAAGGCGAGGTTTCCGGCGACTGGGACCACAACTAACTAGAACCGCGGTCCCAATCGCCGGATCCATAAAAATTAAATAATTTTCTACTGGCGACTGGGACCACTCATATTTTAGTTCTGTACCGATTTTGGCTTGAATAATAAAATATATTTTTTTAAGTTATCTTTGAGTGGTTCTACTTAGTCGCTGGAAGAAAAATATTATTTTTTTATGGATCCAGCGACTGGGACCGCGGTCCTAGTTAATTGCGGTCCCAGTCGCCGGAAACCTCCAAAAGGCGACTCGGACGGGTTTATTTTTATACTAAGTTTATGCAAAAACTGGGCGCTTAAGAGTTTTCTAGGGAATTCCTTTCAAGTGACAGGGGTAAACAGTTTAGAAGTGAATGTTTTTCGCTAGATAATATTTATCAGTATAGTCTGCAGCATTCTTAAGCGTTAGGTTATGTTTAACATGTGGTCCAGTGGTTAGAAAGTTACACTCTCTGGACTTGGATGTTCAGGATTCGAATCTCAGCTGAGACACGAATGGTGTAAAATACATCCTTACTGCTTTTGCGTCAGGAAAGGCATAAAAGAACTAAACATTTTCAAAGGTTAACTGGAGGAGAATGCTATAAATGGCAGTTCTTCTTTTGTCCATGTTCAACGTGCAAATAAGTTTTAAATAAATAAAATTATGATCTCAAAATAGGTGAAAATTCATTCACCCTAATATTTTATTGATAGAGACTACATTATAGTATTCTATACTGATTAAGTAAAGAACTATCACAATACTTTAGCTCTAAAGTTTGAAAAGAATACAAAGTGAATCAGCTTTCATGTACAAATTAATCACCTCATGATAAATTGTTTTTGCTCAACCCACTCCGCTTGGTTATGGCAAGATTAATTGCATTATCTGATGGAAGAGAAACAAGGGAAACTTTTAATATTTATACCTAACTAGCTGTGCCCCGCGGTGTTACCTGCGGTAAAACGTTGCCTACTTATCGAAGGTGAAGTGACAATACCTCCTAAATGCATAATTATTTCCTTTTGCTTTCAGGAGATAGAAAAAATGCGTAATATATTACTTGCGCATATAGCAGCTATTTCCACAAATTTTTATTGCTATCTAAAAAGAAACATTACTTAGGAGAAAAATTTCGAATGGAAAAAGTCCACGCAAAATTAAATTTTAAGCCTATTGTATTAGGGCAGAGTTATTCGCGTCCGTAGGAACTACCTACCCACTACCCTACACGTGCCTCCTGGGTGGTGCCAAATGAATAACAACGCCGGGTCTCGGGCGGCGGTCAATTAACCCGACCATACCAGCCTAACCAGCTTGGTCCCACAGTGAGAGTAGGAAATGACTCACACAAACCGCAACCCTGTGAATGCTGCCTGCAGGATCAGTAGTCTTGNTTATAATGCGAATGTAACTCTGTCTGTCTTGCTTTCACGCCTAAACCACTGAACCGATTTTGATGAAATTTGGCATAGTGATAGTTTGAGTCCCAGGAAAGGACATAGGATAGTTTTTATCCCGGTTCTTGATACAGGGACCCGCGCGATAATGTTTTTCTGTGACAGACAAAATTCCACGCTGGCGAAGCCGCTGGCGGAAAGCTAGTTAGTCATAAATTGATAGGTATATTGAGTGCTCTAAAAATGATCATGTATAAAAAATATAAACAGCCTGTATGTTTTATTGACCTTTTCAATAAAGATTCGTTCTTATTTATTGAACTACCTTACATACTACTACTTTTATAAGCAGAACTACCAATTTACTGAAATACATTTTATCACTACATAGCTGAAGATTTAATAGATACAGGTACGGAATTATAAAACACATATTGAAATAAATATCATTTTATTAAAAGTATACACAGATTCATGTAATTAGAATGTAATAAGTATTTTTACATAATAAACATATAGATATCAAAATACCACAACTAAATATAGCTTTCTAAAAATCTACTCTCTATTTGACTACCACGTGGCAATATGAAAAACGCTGGCGTACCTGCTTTCAGTTCAAAGTACTTCGTTACTAATAAGTCACCCAATTTTTTCTTAGCGTCAATCACGTGAGGCATTTTGTCATATCCTTCAAAATACACATTTACTGTATCACAACTGTATTTATTTTCTTCATCCCACGGTGCCGGAAATACCTGTTCCAATTGATTCAATAACGGTACATCCTCTGGACATGCTTTAATAAAATCAGTCATCTGATATTCAGGGTATAAGAATAGTACTGGCCACTTTAAAATACCGTCCTCAATGTGAACGATCGAATCTTGGGCTCCTGGTAAACTCGGCTCCAATTTCGATAAATCGATATCATCTTCATCTTCGCAATTGGATATCCTTATACCACGCTCGATTATCGCATTTACCACTCCCTCTCTCTGCTCATTATTCTTCGCATCAATCTTTTGTTTTCTTCGTTCATCCCTCTCTTGAATCATTTTCTGCTTTTTTGCTTTATTTAGTAGCTCAATTATGTCTTTGTTCTTCGTTTGTGTTTCAAGTAGTTTTTGACAATGTTGAATACATGTATCGAAGTTACTTATTTGTAGCGCTGTCGTGGCTGCTCTGACCCGAGCTTTGATGTGTTCTGGTTTGAAAGACAGGGCTTTCTCGCTGTCGTATAGGGCTGATCTGTAATTCTTGAGATACCAGTGTGAGGCTGCTCTATTGTTGTAAAGGCTTGCGTTTATTTCTGCATCGTCACACTTAATTTTGATGCCCTCTGTATAACTGAAAGTGTATTGTGAAATATATTAAAATTGTTATCAGTTTAAAGAAAAGAAATCACATTAGAAGAAAAACGGGGGGCAGAGTTATTCGCGTCCGTAGGAACTACCTACCCACTACCCTACACGTGCCTCCTGGGTGGTGCTAAATGAATAACAACGCCGGGTCTCGGGCGGCGGTCAATTAACCCGACCATACCAGCCTAACCAGCTTGGTCCCACAGTGAGAGTAGGAAATGACTCACACAAACCGCAACCCTGTAAATGCTGCCTGCAGGATCGGTAGTCTTGGCTTAACCGCCCGGACTATGAAGAAGACAACTTCTATAAAAAATCACCCCAAGTCTACGGTGAGATTCGTGCCAAAGGACTGCATGGCTGGTGGGAGACCAGTCGCTAACGATCCACTTCGACGGAGCTGGCAAACGTCGTTGTATTAGCCTTCTAGGAAGAATAGGCGTCACCTTCCTAGCGACCTGTTATATCGGCCTTACTCGTGGGAACAAGATGAACCTATTAAATACAAAAAACCAACAAACCCTACCAAACTCAAAAAAACCAACCGACCCTAACAACATGATTCAGCAGACTTTTCATAGAAGCATGTTTACTCGGAACAGAAGCAGCTCGACATCGTCTCTGCCAACAGACCTTAATGACTATAACTCCATGCAACAGAACAAGGAGATAGACAATCTGGATTCACAGACCGAGATCCAACTTGCCAGCGACAACATAACCTCAGACCACGAAGAATGGCAGAGGGACGAAATTCCCACCAAGAGAAAGAAAAGGAAAGAAACAAGTCCAATTCACAAGGTCGGGAATAAAAAACAGAAAAATTCACCAGACTTTGCGATCCCTACACGCAATAGTTTTGAACTACTTGACTCGGAGCCTACGGATGAAACCAACAATAAAGACAAAACATATGTACCAAAGCCAGAACCCATCTTTGTTACTGGAGTAATTAATGTGAATACACTAAGGGACGTACTAAACAAATTTGTAAAAAGCGACCTTTACCTCATGACTACNAATATTTTCCATCCCATTAGTACGCCGGCTGCGCTCGATTCGGATATAATGACGTCACGCGGCCTTGCGTACGTTGACTTTTAGCGGCAAAAACGGCCTATGTTTATTACTTAATATCTTCGTAAGTAATGGTCCGATTTGGATAATTCAAAAAGATATATCTTTCTTATGTCTTAAAGATTAACGTAGATACTAGTTTTATTGAATTTTCTACAACAGTACTGATCCTCATTCAAGACTAAGTACGAGGGGTGTTCAAAAAGTAATGAGAATGGGATACGTATTTCTAGCCATCACAAAAAGCTGAAAAAATGGGTACGTAGCATAATTCTTCACCAGAAACCGGTAGAAGAATCTAACTTGCATAAATTATACAAATTGTAAAGTAGGTGATGTGCTTTCAAAAACTTCATTTCTATCTTTATCTAAAGAGCAAGTGATTAGTAGGAATAATGAAATATTTTGTTTTTATAATTACGTAAGTTACTGAAAGTTATTTTCAGGGACAAAGGCGATATTACACAGAGTAAATTATTGTAAGCTTTGAGAAACAATGAATATATTACCTGTATCAACTTATACAGCATGTATAACCCTTCCTCCGGCGAGCACGGTTCCGGCTCCACACTTCCAGGCCCAGACCTCTTCCCCTGCCCCCATCCCGTGCTGAAGGTCAGCTGGGCGTCAGACACCACCAGTACCACCGCCAGGAAAGCCAGGAACACCACGATACGACCCATCGTTGTGGAGAGAACCTTTCGAATGACCGTCGAAGAAGCCACCCTCGACTTTTATAGCCTCGAAGTTATTCGAAACTTCGAAGTAATTGCGTCTGGTCTTAATCAAAAGAAGACCGTAGAGTTACGGAACGTGGTCGGTGATTTGATTGTTTTAGATAAATTAGATGCAGTGGGTTGTTCTTGGAAATTATAATAATACAATGGGTAGGTAAAGTTTTGGAAGCGAGAAATGAAAACAGATTTTGTTTTAACCGTTTCTGAGAAACATCTACATAGGTATGTCTTCAATAACCCTGTTGTTTTTTCTTTTTTATAGGTTGAAGTTTAGATAAAATACCAATGACAGTAGCTAGGGCTAATGGCATTAACTTAATATACACAGCTATAAGTGCTTCTAATAATTAGTGATGACAGAGTTATAGAGTCTAATAAATATCATCATCGCTGTCACAGAGACACTAGTCTAAAGTAGTACAGCTTATTAATGTTCTGTGGTATACCTATTGCTAGTAGCAGGACAAAAACCATTTAAGCAAGGTAGGTAGGTACTTTATTTGCGTGAAAGAGTTACTAACATCCATCTATCCATCCTCATAATTATACTTTCAATGTAAGTAATATTAGTAGGATGTAGGATAACCATAAAAATTTGAAAAACGAAAAATCACGAAAATTTTTCGGACAGAACCACAATACAAAGCTAGTGAACGAATTGTTATGTTCGTAGGTCGGAAAACTAATCACAAACAAATTAAAATTTGTGCGGCTTCGTCCAGTTTGTCCTATAAAAACTCGGCTCTGCTCCTCCCAATCATCACAGAGCTCGTCTGCCTTAGTGTGCCTGCCACTTCAGTGTATTAAGAATCTTTAGTTTCCATCCAAATCTCCACCATGTACAAGTTTCTGGCAGTATTTGTCCTGATCGCCTGCATGTGTCTGGTGGCTGAAGCACAGCTGACCTTCACGTCCAGCTGGGGAGGAAAGAGAGCAGCCATCGCTGGAACTGTGTCCTGTAGGAACGACGAAGCTATTGCGGCCATTTATAAGATGATTCAGGTGAGGACTCCACTTTTCTTCTTCTTCTTTTGTTTGTAGTCAAAGATATCGGTCCACAAAAGTAGGTAACCTTCAAACTTAAAATAAAGAACAGGCTTTTCAGCCTGAGACCCTGGCTTTTAGCTTTACCAGCGAGTCGAAACAAACTAGGTAGAGCTGAAATAGCGCTAGAGCAAACAAGGGACATTGATTGGTCACCTTAAGAACTGCAGTGTACCTACTAACGAAATAAATAACAATGCTATTTCTTTTCTTTAGAACTTAAAAAACATAACCCTCCTTCTGACGCAGTCGGGTAAAAAGGGATTACTTAGGTACTCGTGTGAAAGATGCATCGTCTTTATTTCAATTAAAAGAGCAAAGTTAGTGGCTTCATTCCTGTTTTATTACTAATGCCCTATTTTTCTTTTTTCAGAACGAAGCTGAAAGATTTATTTTATGCCAGAAGCCTTGAAGAAATTGACCAGACAATGCACAAAATACACCGACATGGCCGCCACTGGGATCTTTACAATTTATAATGTTTTGTAATTTCTTATACTTAATACATTATTATAGTGAAACATGTATGATTGATCAGATACAAATGTGTTCATATTATTGAAGGATTGTTGCTTATTCTGCAGTAAATATGTAATTTGTTTTCAACTCCACTGCTTTTATTATCGTTATTTCCTTGCCTTTTCGTGAATAGGTACTTAGCTACCAGACGAGAGAAGACCTCTATTAGGTAGGAAGATTTAATAACACTAGTTTACAAAAAAAATGTTTTTCTTTTACCCAAAGATAATTCATATTGGATGTGTTTTCTACCAGCCTCCTTATTACAAACATATATGTCTCATATTTTTATCACGTCAAGTTTTTGAGATATCCACATTAACCTTAGTAAGCTGACTTGTTAGCCGTGTCGGAGTTTCTACTTTATTTTAATGGCGTTTAAGTATTATTTTAACATTTTCACTTGTTTTAAAATGTCACCAAGGCAGTGTAAATTAAGCCCAAATAACTTTTGCTAAGTTTGTGGTCAAATTATATTGTCAAAAAAGAAGAGACCAAGCACTAAGGCCGTAAAACGGGCCTATTTCTATTACTTTCTAATCTCGGTAACAAACCTGATAAAAAATGGGTTCCTGGTGTTGTGTGCGAAAATTTGAGAAGTATATTATTGCACTAACCTGCAGGAAAAAGAAAACATATACGATTCGGCACCCCAATGTTATGGAGAGAACCAACAAATCACACTAATGACTGTTACTTCTGCCTCACTGAAACTACAGGTTTTAACAACAAAAACCAAAAACCTGATGTTGCATCAGTCACAAAACCTATGCTGCAATCTGAAGGAGTTCTTTATCCGTCATTACCCAGCAATTCCAGTAAGGGAAAGATCCTTGGTATTCATTTAAAGCAGTAGTGAAAAGTTTCTTAGGAAACTATAAAATCTGAGAATTATGCAGAAATTGTTTCCAAATTATTGAGGAATAACAAAAGAATGGGTGGGAATAAGTCGCTAAAAATTCATTTTTTACATTCTCACCTGGATTTTTTTCCTGAGAACCTGGGAAGCGTGAGTGTTGAGTATGGCGAAAGTTTTCACCAGGATTTGAAGGTTTTTGAGGAAAGATACTAAGGAATTGGGGATAAAAATATGTTAGCGGATTGCTGCTGGACTATAATAAGGGAAACTGATACTAATTAGTATAAAAGAAGGAGTAAAACGACTCATTTTTGGTTGTTTTTAGAGATAAATGTATTAAAATGATAAAAATTAATATAATCAATATTTACAAAATTTGACGTCCTAAATTTTTTCTAAGTTCAGTTTTTAAGTAAGGGTTAATAACTCTAACGATACATATCAGTTTCATCTCTGGGTAAAAAACCTTGTAAACTAGTGTAATCACTAACAACGGAACCCTATTAAATTAAAACTTTCTCAGAAGATTTTAAAAAGATGTTGAAACCGAAAACGACGTTAGGAATCATATTTAAAACTAACAGCCCCGGCGAACTTCGTAAATTCTAAAAAATATAGATTCTAAAGAATTTTTCATATCGGTCCACTGTTTCGGAGCCAATTCGATAGTAGGTACAACAATGTATTAGTGTAGATGCAGTGGGTTCGATTCCTAGTTCATTCATACAGAAATCGTTGCACTAAGTACCCGTAACCAACGAAAAATAGTCTAAAACGTGTATTTCGAGATTGCCTCGCAACGATTTCTAAGTGGGCAGCAGCCTAGAATAAAATATGCGACTTCATCTGTGGATCGTAGGTTCGATTCCCGACTAGGAGGACTTTTTAGAGTAATTTGTAAGTAAATATAATTACAAATAGTAATCCCGTTAACCTCTCGTGGTACGTTAAATATGCTTGTGTTACGAGTGGATTCACCACAAACCACCAGCGACGGTGGTAATCGAACCCGCGTTCCTCGAATCACGAGTCGGCCAGTGCGAGACCTCCACGATTCGGCTATTGTCGCTTCATTATGTCGTTGTCGTCCATCTTAAAACATCGAAAGCTTTCGATCTTCATGACATGTGGCACTTTTTGAAACTCCATACAAAAAAAAGGCTTCTAGACCATCTTTCGACACAAAAACTGTCACATTTTGCATTTTGGGGGGCAGGCCTGCCTAGGGGGGCAGTTCATTAAGTTTCTTCGTTTGTGTGTTAAAGGGTTTAACCTACACTCCCATCTCTGAAGGCGAGCTTTAGATAAATACCTAAATTGCTCAAGATTACGACGTCGGAACCACGACTAGCCGGACATGTTTTGGCTTTTTAGAAAGAAAGAAACATTTATTACGTTGAACATCACTTAGTTAAGGACCGAGAAGGTATACGGTTTTTACGGACTTGTCCGGGCAAATATTCGCTTGTCCGGCCTCTCTGGCTTTTGTTAGGCTTTTTATGTGGCTTCCGAGCCAGTCGAAAGTCTCAAGCCACATAATAATATCGAGCACACGTCATGGGATTGGACTACCGATACGAAAATGATAGTTGTGTCGTAAGGTATTTGCACCCAACATGTACAGGTTCTATGGTACAAAAATGTATACCTAGTCTGTGATGTATAGAAAAGTACCTACTTAATCAAGGAATTGGTGGTGCAGGTATCTGATTCTACCATATTCGATATTTATTTATTTATTTATTTATTTATTATTCATTATTGAGCAATTACATATTTGATCCAAATAGCGTCCTAAATCCTTTTTAGGTTTGTCTAGACACTATTGTTAAATCTAGATATTAAATGACAGTAAACTTACATGGCGTAGATTAGGCAACCACCACGCGCTTCCATGCCCAGACGAAAACCAGGAGTTTGATCATCTAGGAAAGGCAGAAAGATATTGTTAAAACCTATTCATCTAACTACACCAGTTATTCTAGTAACCAGCTAATAATATTTTAAGGGGAAAGGACAAAATATTGGGAGACCTACTTTTCAATATAAAGTACACTGATGATAATTTTAAACCATTATACCTTAGTGCAAAGAAATTTTATAGAGCTATGGACCTATTATTACACATTTGAACTAGTACTATTATTCTGGGCTAGTACTAAGTAGAATCAGTAGATGTTAATGAAAAGAATTCTAAGAGAGTTAAAATAAATACCACATAGTATGAAAATATAGTCTATTTATTATGTCATATAAATGTTACAAGTTCCTTACACTAATTTTAAGACGATACTTGAGATATCCCGCTAGTGTCCAACGACATTCTGTTGTTTGACGAAGTGTATGGAAGGTCATCTTCATCCAAGGCTTCCTTCATTCTCCTTTTGTATATTTCACTGTCCGGATTGTTCTCTTGGTTGCGGCATCTATCTAACTTCTTCTCGATTATTCTAACACGCTCCCTCGCTGGACTCTCCACCATCTTCACCATGGAACGTATTTTACGTACAGCTTCTATTAAAATTGCTAATTTATCTGATCCAGCATCTCTAAATAACATCTCTGTAACGTAACTGTCCAAGTTTTCTTGCTCTTTACTCGCTGCATGGAGCACAGCCGCCAATGCAATTTGAGATGGCGCATACAACAGGCATGCATCAGTCAGAAATACCTTTTCGAGAAACTCGTCAATACCGCCTCGTAAGCGTTCAGGGTTTGATAAGGTGCAGCGTGTCTTGATGTCAATGAGGAAGCCCTCCACAGGCCTGAATGGGTTATGTATTGTCAAATGATAGTTCAGTTGTTGCATTAGCAGTAACTCATTGTTCAAAATAATATCTGAAGCCTTCTCTCTGTCACCTTTTATGTTTGCTACGAACTGCCCAATAGACACATTAAATTCTTCCACTTTGCAGGCTAAATAAACACATGTCGCTAGAATTTCTTTAGGGTGATAGTCCATAGAAGAGTTGTACAAGTAAAAGCGCTTGAAGTAATGAAAAGCTGTACCAACTACGCCTTTTGGCATTGGAGGGGTGAACCTTTTACAGAAATCCCTGAGATGGAGCTCGTATTGCTTCAAGAGCCACCTCTCTTCGTCTGGAGTGAGGAAGAAATTGTACCGCTGATATTCATCTATGTGAGCCCCATGTTTTAAAATGTACTGCAGATTGTGTTTCTCACGAAGACACACCAACTCATTTTCGTCACCAAATGTCCAAAATTTTCTCTGGGAGCTCGTAGAAAACATTTCCTTTATAAATGAGTTAGCACCATAAGTTTTTTAATCAATACTATGATATTACAACGGCTAAAACTGTACTTTTTAACGAAAACAAAACCGTGCCGCGGTCTTCGAGTCCGTTTATTTTTTGACAACTTTGACAGTGACAAACAACAAGTGACAGCGTCTGCATCCTAGTCCGAAAACAGCTTTGAAAACTCTTGAAAATTTTACACAAAATCATTTTCAGCTTTACATATATATTGGCAGATGAATGTCATTGAATCCAAACTTAAGTATATTTAATAAATAAATTTAATGTTTTTTTTGTTTATTGGCTTTATTTACTTAGGTCAAAGGAGCTGTAGTCGGTTTTTTTCGTTCATAATACTTTAAGTTTCGGACTCTAACTTAACTAACCTGACAAATACGATCCTATTCACGCTGTTTAAAAGAAGTATAAATTAAAATCTCAAAAATCTCTTGATAAAGATCTACCCAAAAATTGTAATAGTAAAAATTACTTTTAAAAATTAAAACATCAAATTTTAATTTAACATTAATTGAATATATTATATGAAAAATTATTAACTAAATAAACATAAAACATTGTTCATAAACGTCAAGTAGTTATATGAAATGGAACGGAAATAGGATTTCTCTTTCGCACCCACGATTTCAAATATTTCTGTCCCACTTTCTACTTGATGATTGAATCATCGAAGTGTTGACTGATCGTCGTAAAATTGAAAGAAATTGGACTATTTTTGTAACTAAATTAGTTCTCCTAATTATTTTTGCATAATACGAAAATGTCGCGACCGGGAGACAGACCGAACCAAGCACAAACGTACAAACTTGTGGTAGTAGGCGGTGGTGGTGTTGGAAAAAGTGCAATTACAATACAATTTATTCAGGTATTTATCTCTTTATTCTAGTAAAGATACGCCTACGGATCATATGTTAGATTAAATTAAGGATTTCTAGTCCATTTCCATTGGTTGACATGATTTGATTGTTGTAGATTACTAGAGAATGCAGTTTAGTAATGAAGTGTTTGTTCATATTTAAAAATAGTGTTCTAAGATGTTTTAATGTCAAGGTCTGTGGGTACGGAGGCGCCGCCGCCCACCGTGGTCAGCACCTGGTGTTCTAATGCCTGAAATTCTGTTTCAGAGTTATTTTGTGACTGACTATGACCCTACTATTGAAGACAGCTATACAAAGCAGTGTGTCATTGATGATATACCAGCGAAACTGGACAGTGAGTAGCTTCATACCTCTAAACCCACATGGATGCTTAAGGTCGTCAATGATTTACCTAGTTTAAGCAAGGTCTTTGCAAAATAGGTCTTGAATGTGTCAAGGTCGGGGCATCCTGTTAACTATTCTGTTGTTAAACTAGTCATTTTAAATCTGCTCTGCACTCTTGAAACTTCAGTTTGTTGATTTAATCAAGCAAGCAAACCTTCTGTTTCTTTTATCACTGGCCTTCATAGTGTTTAATGTTTAGTCATCATAGGCATCATAGCATAAGTACCTTGTATACCCACCTAAAGTCTCTAAGTTTCAAGGAAATTCAAAATTTTACAAAATTACACCTAAATCTTGTAGCTAAGTAACATTTCTGAAATCCTTACTAAAATATTAGCCTGTAATTTTTGTGTAGATTCTGATAAAAGAGGCAGAATTAAATTATAGCATAATGTGATATCCTGATGTAGGTATTATAAGTTGTTGCATTTGACAAAAATCTGTCCAGTACTTTTTGCATAATGGAGTAACAAATATCCATCTATTCTTCCTAACAACAATTCATAATATTAACGATTGCCTTGAAAAATTTTCCAGTTCTGGACACAGCAGGCCAAGAAGAGTTTAGTGCGATGCGTGAACAGTACATGAGGTCGGGCGAGGGTTTCTTGCTCGTCTTCTCAGTGGCCGACCACGCCAGCTTCGACGAGTTGTACAAGTTCCACAAACAGATCCTACGTGTTAAGGATCGAGATGAATTCCCCATGCTGATGGTCGGGAATAAAGCTGATTTGGAAATGCAACGAGTGGTACGTAGATTAAGTTGTTGAAATTTATTTATTTTTAAATTAGATCAGTACCTACATTGTATGGTGCTGAAGAAAACTACTTTATTTTTCTTATTAGACTACACTTAGATCCGGACACGTTATAAAGATTATTCCCAAAGACATCCAGACATACAAAACGATTCGGGAGAACTTCATTGCCAATAATATCTCACACTATACTTACCAGCTTAAATGCGAGAGAGCATACAGAGTAGTACTACGCGGACTCCACGCATCAGAAAACACCACAGAAATTTCTAAGGAATTGTATGAAATTGGACATGAAGTGAGACAAATAGTCAACATCAGACATCGAGCTACAAAGGAACCGTTGCCTGTATTTTATGTTGACTTAGAACCAAAGCCAAACAACAAAGCCATTTTTGATGTAAAATACTTGAATAACATGAAGATTACCTTTGAAGCCCCATATAAGAAAAAGGAAATTATTCAATGCAAGAGATGTCAGAGATATGGGCACTCCAAGAACCAATGTTTTAGGCCCTATCGCTGTGTCAAATGCGGCAGTGCTCATCCCACAACAACATGTACTAAAAAACCAGACACGGAGGCTACTTGCGCGAACTGTGACGAAAAACACCCCGCTAGTTACAAAGGATGCAAAGTGTACAAACAGTATAGAGAGAGAATANAATCTCAGCTAGTATTCTTTCTTCATCTACACTGCTTCCCCTCTCCCTTTCCGTTTCCTTCTCTACGGAAGGCTCGGGTTCTGGCTCTGAAACCTTCTTCCCCGAGACCTTCCCTTTCCTCTCAATCTCGGACTCTTTGACCAGCTGATACAGCCGATCCAGAGCCTGGATGACGTCTGTCTTGATGTCGCCGCGCAGGTTTCTTGCTGTGCCAAGGGACATTTTGGCCTTCTGCAGACAGGCTCTGGCTTCGGCTGTCCTATCCTTTACAGCGGTGGCGGGGGGCTTCGGTGAGCTCGCCGACGCTGCCTCCACGGAAGCCCGGCGCACTGGCGCGGGTTTCTTGGGGGCCTTCGGGGGCTCGGCCTGCGGCGGGGTTGAGTCGGAGCCGGAGGAAAGCCCAGCTTTCCTGGTCTCCCACTCGCCGACGCTGCGTCTCACCTTGCCCGGCCTTCGGATAGGTGGGGACTCAGGGGACTTCTGCTGGACTTCGTCGCTGTTCCTCTTTGCCGGCGTCCTGAAGCCGAACATGACGTCAGAGGTGCGCGTCGCCTAAAATGTGTGATGTGTATAATCAGCTGTCCGTATGACCGCTTATGATATTTAAGATTAAAATAGTATGTAAACAGTGTCAATAAAAGGTTTGTATAAGTTGTATAATAGAATAAAACACGAATAAAATATAACAATAAAAATATCAGTCTTCTTTCCCTCTTTAGGTACTCGTCAGTCGGGGCAGCGGCCGCTGCAGCACCCGGTAAGTCAAAATTTATCTTTACTACTAATCTTATGTGCGTCTTTTTGTTTACAGGTGCCGGTTGCAGCAGCGGGGCAGCCAGAAGCGGTCAAATATAGAAGATTTGTCACGGTAAAATTAGTTTACCGGTCCCTACTAGTCCAAAAAGACGTCTAAAGATACGCTAAGTCAACTTAAAATTAAAGTAACTCAATCTAGAGTCCGAATCACGCCTAATCGCAAAAAGTAATTTTTGGCCCAGCCGAAAATCTCCACCTGCCTAGAGACAAAAGGGTGGGTGGGCGGGCAAATTTTTAAACTTCCTGTCGTCGGATCCCTACAAACGGGGTGTCTATGGATAGGGCTCGTCGAGACGAACACGATAAGACGATAAACGTCGGGGGTGGCCCTAGAAAATTTTGAAAATGACGCCCAAAAACCGTCTCAGATGTTACCCAAAACACTAAAGACACCAGTTATAGGGGCATTTTTTGGAGAAATTTATCAAATAACCAAAAAAACACGAATTTTTAAGCAGATTTTTTTCAAAAGTTATCATTTTTTGTTATTTGTTGGCCTTTTTTGTGTATTTTATGTATTTTTTTAGTATTGCCTGTTATTTAGAATTATTACTGTTTTTATTTTATCAGGATATACCGCTTAGTTTAAAAGTTATTACGTTTTCTTTACAATAAGTAATTGGAAGAAAAAAAATTCTATAAAAAATTTAAAAAAAATCTCAAAAAATTTTTGACCCCTTTTTTGTCGATAAAAATAGGTCTAGTTTCATCTATTTTCATATGTACACTTTAACGTGACTCACACTGTATAAAGTAAGCAAGTTTGAAAACTCCTTGGCTTAGTCTGGCCTATGCACTCGAACATAAGTTAGATCGATACGAGCGACTTCCAAGTCTTACTCATTATTAATTTAAACAGCTATAGCAACGTTTTAGCTAATGATTGCCTTGTCATTCTGACTAATATTGATTTTGCTGTAGTGGAAACAGTATTTTACTAAACAGTACAATTTCAGTTGTTAAGTCCTTAAATCGATTCGATTCGTTTTATTGCTATTTCGTTTGTTCGTTTCGGCCAAATGACGTCCACTAGTGGGCAAATGCCTCCCCCAAGGATTTCCATAAGGACCGGTCCTGCGCTGGACGCATCCAGGCTCTTCCCGCGACCTTCACCAGATCGTCAGTCCACCTAGTGGGAGGCCTTCCCGCGCTACATCTGCTATTATTCTATTTTTAACCGACTTCAAAAAAAGGAGGAGGTTCTCAATTCGAGTGGATGTTTTATTCTATTTAGTTACTCGGTACAAAAATCGAGCTTTATTATATTATAGATAGTTTTAAATCAAATTATTCATGGCTACTCCAGCACATAAGACTATACATTTTTGTTGCAATATCACACTTATTTCAACCAAATAAGATACCATAATGCCTCGTACTTGTCTCTGCCACCACATTCCAGACATCATTTGATATTTCCTTATTATAATTTCGTCCCTTCGCACCGGGATACATGACTGACTACATGAACAGACGTTTGTCAAAGTTAAATTAAGATGTTGCAACCCAGCCTAAAATACTCGAATTTCCTAAAACTCTATGCGAACAGCTGGCTCTCTGTACATAACATCATACAGCATTCACTGCTCGCGCTTCAAGAGATAGCCGTTGATAAGAGATATGAAGTTAATTCCCATTAAAGGTTAAAGATGAAGGTAAAAGCTCCTACTTGAACAAAATGAGTAACAAACATCTATCCATCCGTGCGATGTGGAAGTCGTCCTGTGACTAAAATTATGATGATGATGATCCATCCGTGACTCCAAAATTGTGTGGTTATATTTATTTAGTCCTGGCGGCCACCTTCGACTTCGTACGCGTAGATCCCGTTTTACCCCCTTAGAGGTTCAATTTTGCAAATCCCCGTCTTAATGAGCACCTATGTTCTAAAAGGAACCCCCATGCAAAATTTGAGACTTCTAGCACTTGTAGTTTCTGAGATTTCGTGATGACTGAGTCAGTCAGTGACCTTTCGCTTTTATAAATATAGATATAGTATTTTGTACGTATTAACAACCGAAACTTGAAAAAGTTTTCAATTTAAATTACATACCGAATCTTTTAGTCCTTCTTCTTCAAACAAGAAAATTTCAATATACGATACCAAGAAATAATCCTCAAAAAATCAAAATCAAAATCAAAAATATTTATTCAGTTACACAGCCACAAGTGGCACTTATGAACGTCAAAATATTATTATTGAAAATAATAAAAAAAGAAAAGGTAGCCCTCATGGGGGCACTTTACAAGTCTCCTTATCTTTTGGGCCCTACCAGCGCTTCGAGACAAACATATGGCAAGTGCTGAGAAGAAACGCCGGAACAAACTCAGTCACCACTAATTGCCAAGAATTATCTAACGGTAAGAATAACCAAATTCGAGTACATCAAATATGTGCAGACTGAACTGACCACGCATCCTTGTCATCAATATAGTCTCGAACCTTGTTGTACCCTTTGGACATATGGTACCCTCAGGAGTACATACCACAATACGCTCCAAAGGCATCATCATAAATTCATCTTTATTGATTTATTGATTCCCAAGAAATGGAATTGCATTTCGCATCGGTTGCTACGGCGCTACGAGGCGAAAGCCGTAGCTCGTAGTCGCGGAGCCCATGTTCTCGTAAACAAAAAGGCACAAAGTGTAACACGTATAAGGCATCTGTGATAGTGTTAAATATGATTTATGAAAAGTATTTTTAAGACACAAACAATCGCACCGTTTTGTATTATTATATTATCTTGGTCTATTTGTCTTTAATTTTGATTTCATTTATTATCAGACAACGTAGTCCATATTTTGGTTAGTAACAATTTGATATTAGAGACAATGTTAATATGGTTAGAAATAATGAAGAAAAATCTTAGAAGTATGTTAGTACAGCATATTAAACGAATAATGTATTATTATTATGGACGCTTATTGAAAAGACACTATACCCACTTAGAAAATAAAGCTGCCTTATTTTTTAGGAATAAGGAAAATAAATTCGACCCCTAGTCCCAGAAAGACATTGACACTGCAAGTGTAACTGACAGCTACAGCTACGGCTAGCGAGCGCCGTAGTCCCGTAGCGCGTAATTACTACGAGCGACTACGGCGTAGTAGACCTTTGTTTGCAAACAAGTGAGGCTGACTAACATTGACACCAAACTGTGTTTATTCCTAGTAATGGTAATGGTTTATCTATTTATTTATTTTATTAATTAAGGTACAGCAACAGATTACAATTTACAAATTTTTTATCGAGCTTCTGCTCGCTAGGCCAGGCCTTGCTGGCCTGTGATTTGATTGCTCTAAAGACATGCTTGGTGAGACCTCAAAATGTTAATGGTGATGGATAGAAAATTGTTTGACAAATGCAAAATTAGTGTCCGACCGAAACTAGTTTTACGACCGAAACCGAAAACGAATTTCGGCAACGGTGTCTATTTCGGCCGAAACCGAAACTTCCTTACAAGGCTCATAAATCCTACTTGGATAAAAGATGCTTCCAAGTGAAGTACAGCGATGATCTCTCGGAAGCACACGAAATAAAATCAGGTGTCCCTCAGGGCAGTATCTTGGGCCCTGTACTGTACCTCATCTTCACAGCAGATATCCCGACAACTGATTACACCACGACTGCGACATATGCTGATGATACGGCGCTACTGTCAGCTCATAGCAACCCAGAAACAGCATCATCACAGTTGCAAAAACACTTGACAAAAGTTGAGAAGTGGCTGCAGCGTTGGAGAATAAGAGCCAATGAGAGCAAATCGGTACATGTAACATTCACACTCAGAAAAGAAACATGTCCACACCAGTAACGCTAAACTGCAAAGTTACAATAACGCAAAATACTTGGGCATGCACCTAGACAGGAAACTTACGTGGCAGAAACATATTTGGACGAAGTGCAAACAACTGGATGGAAGGCTGCGGTCACTGAACTGGTTAATGGGACGCCAATCACAATTAAGTCCTAGCAGCAAGATGCTAGTGTACAAAACTACCATAAAACCGATCTGGACTTACGGTATACAACAAAATTGGTAGTATGTAAGTCAGTATCTACTGTACTTGCCACTTGGATACCTTGGTGATAAATAAATACAAAAATGAACTTTGAAACTCTGAATCCATAATATTATCACCATGAAATGCACTATAGTCATTACTAACTACTTAATTAATGTTTGTTTACGTATAGCATTTGCAAACCAAAAAAAAATTTATAGGATTAAACTTGATTATACTTTTAACAGTCATATTGAATTTTTTTGTTGATGTTTACTACCCGCTCTTATGTTATAACGACATAAAACGAGATAAAACTTACCAAATTCAAAATAAATCACTCGAAAACTCGCCACCACAACAAAACAAAACTGACAGCAAACAAACAAGCGAGCGAATCACGACATTGGCTCTGATCGGATTCATTCACTCATTCAACGCGCCGAACATGACCGATAACAGCGCGGAAACTCCCGAATGCACATTCGGTTTAGGTCGTAGTTTCGGCAAGTTTGCCGCCGAAAACGAAACTAAACCGAAACTCGTGTTTTTACCGAAACTCAACCGAAAACGAAACCGAAACCGAACATTCGGTCGGACACTATGCAAAATACCTACATGTTTTCAAGAAAGTTGGTAAACCAATTTGTGTTTTGTACCTCAGGCATATACCTACCTACATTCTTAAAAAATGCAATCAATGCCTGCAAAAAGTCAAGGTTACTTTTAGGCTATTTGCACAGAATTTATAAACTATAATGACTGTAATTCTAAATAGCCTGTAAATATAAACTTATAGCTTTTATTACCTTCATAGTTAGCCATTAGGTGCTTTAAAAAATCAGTTAAACGATGCTAGGCTCACAATACCAAATACAACAGGTAGCCCTGTGGGAGCGCCCAACTATTAAGCCTATAACTTTAATCAACAGAAGGACCTTTGAGTTGCTATTGACTATGCAGTGTTTCAAGAGGGATGTGTGTGCATCATATTAGAAATTTCTTCACTGTAATACCTAACTTCCTGTGTTATTTTAAGAAATTTTCGGTCACTAAATGCGTTTTCAACTTCTTAACCGGGGCAAAAGTAAATAAAAACAAACATTCTGGATAGTCACTAAAACTTGTGATAGAAGCTTTTAAATTTGTATGCACTAATAATAAGTTATATTTTTAAAGTATATTTCGTAAGTAATGACAATTTGTATATTTTAAGGAGCATCTACCCCTAAGACGGCGCAGACCACCGATTTTTAGTTGGCCGATTCTAATTTACATGAAGAATCAGCCGATAACAAATCGATGTAGTGTGCGCACTTTCTTACATCTCCATACTGATTAAAGCCCGACCCAAGTGTCGTCCAACTAAAAGTTGGTGCTCTGCGCCTAGGCTAAATACTACAAATTACAGCAATGTTTATTTTAATGTTCACGCGTTAATAATGTTTAGCCTAGATGCAGACCACCGATTTTTTATCGGCCGATAGTTTACTCGGGCAACTGCCCGAATACCTTTCTAATCGATTGACTAATCAATATGGGCATATATGGACGTGCACACATTACTCCGATTGATTCTTCATACAAATTAGAATCGGGCCCAACTACCGTCGACTGAAAATCGGTGGTATGCGCCTAGGCTTACGCGGCGAGAAATTTTTATTTCCACGTCAAAATCAAATTCAATAGAGTAAAACTCCGCGCACACTACTTTAACAATTTCCATTTTCATATTTCCATTTCCGCGAATGGATTTGCTTTTCAATAAGTACATTTGAAACATCCAATAATCTTGCTTATTGGGTTTATGCGTGAAGCATGTGTCCGTGGCCGACGTTGCATCAAAATGCGCCCGGAACGTGAATTCAGTACTCATCATCATCATCATCATCATTTCAGCCATAGGACGTCCACTTCTGAACATAGGCCTCCCCCAATGCTTTCCACGTTGATCGATTGGTAGCGGCCTGCGTCCAGCGCTTCCCTGCTACCTTTACGATGTTGTCGGTCCACCTTGTAGGTGGACGTCCCACGCTGCGTTCATGTAAATGAATGCTGCTGAATTCAGTACTACTGTCATGTAATCAGTTTTCCATGTAAGCTCTTCCTGAAAGTAAACAACTAGGACGCTATAGATCAATAACAGTTTTTGTAGTAGATAAAGAGATATTATATTTTGTTTTAAAAAACACTGAATGTTATTGTGATTCAAATTTAATTATTTTGATTGGTACTGTCCCATCTCTGTATAATTATTTTATACTTATGTTTGTAATCTTTCAAGATCTTAGGTATATTTTAGATCATAAAACCTAGAATTCGATGGGGAAATAAGTTTGTTGTATTCGTCATAATCTACCTACATATATTTGATTAATAACTTTACTAAAAATCTAATTCACGGCTTTCTTAGAAACTGTATTTTCATATCAATAGAAACATCCAACCAAGCCGAGACTCGAATACGTGTACCCGAACCGTAATAACGTGAATGTACCGTGCATATAAATCACGCATTGCCAAAAATAGCTCACGGCTTCGTATTGGGAGTTCCCAACCTAATACTAGGTACTTTGTTGAATTAGAAAACTATATTAGGTATTGATATTTTCTGAAAAGTTTCAATTGGGATTGTAATATTAATAATTGGAATAACCAATCAATCAACTGAAAAATAATATAAGTTTTGCCCAAATTTGGCTGTCAATAACGCGCTGACTCGCCAAAGTTTCGACTTTGAGTGTGGTGAGTGGTGAGTGACGCTATCGCTGTCCTGTCGCATCCTCGCTTATCACTGACCCAGATGCGAGCAATCGCTACGCTGCGCGCGCATTCATTCATGGCGCGTAGGGATGGGCAAATGGAAAAAAAATATCGATATTTATCGTATCGATATTTATCGTATCGATATTTCTCAAATATATCGATATATATCACCCAAGAAATATCGATATTTCGATATATCGATATTTTTTGCGCAATTTGCAATTTTTTATAAAAAATGACAAAATATTCGAAATTTTGAAGCAAACACACATCTGGCTGTTTTAACATCAGTTTAATTATTAAAAAAAACAGCCTACTACATACCTACTCTTTTTCTAAATCGAAATCGGATTGGTCGAATACATGTTGTGACGCATGAGCAGACAGCAGAGCTTTAAAAATATATCGATTTTGATATCTGAAAATAAATATCGAAAATCGGTATATCACGGGAAAAAATATCGCTGATTTATATCGATATTTTTCTGAAAAAATATCGATATTTTGATATATCGATATTTTTTACCCAAGCCTAATGGCGCGTGGCGGGAGTGCCAGCGCCGCGTCCGTCCGCGCCGCGCGTCCCATGCGCCGCCACCACGGCCGACCCCGACGCGATCCCGCTCGTGGCCACCGGCCCACACCTGCAGCCATGCCGAAACATGATGGGGTACAACCAAGGGCATGGATACAATAAGTTGTTCACGCAGGTGCGCGCGCATGACGTGTTTTTGTTTTGGTGTGTGACGTGTGATCGTAAAAGTGCGGTTTAAGTGAGCTTTATCTGTTTAAAATTATTTTCTGTTGATAAACAAATCGATGGTGCAGGTATGCGATGTTATTGCGTAGCATTTTACACGGTGAAATCACCGTGCAAAGTAAAGGTTTTTTTATTTCAATATTGACAAATAAGCCAGCAATCTCACCCAAAACCTAGTAATCAGTACGTTATTTAGTACACCTACATACTTGCCTAAAAATAAAGAGGTAAATAAGAGTACCTAAATGAGAACGGATTGCTTGCGACGCAAATCTGCAAGCCGCCATATGTTTCATGTTTTACTGATTTGTTTTTGTGGAATATACCGATATTCCTTGCAATTGTAGAAGATGAATCCACATTTGAGCTGAGGTGAGACAATGAAAGTAAATTTTAAAAGTGCTCGTACAAACACTTGAAACACTTGAAACTTGTCACAACAAACACCTGTTTCAGCTCGCCTATAGACCTAACATAGCCCGCTGTCACAGTAGGTACTAACCGCAAAGTCGAAATGGTTATCTTTCATGATTTTTCTTGCTTTTTCATTATGGACCCTAATTTTAGTTAGGTGAAGCTGAGGAAAGTTAATATTTTTTTTTAAGGCGCGTGTTTTACCTTTTAAATCCTTCTTGCTGTCAATATAGTGTGTAGATAAGGTGGTTTTTGGCTATTTGACCACAAAATTAATTGTTTGGTAGTTTTATACGCATACTAGCTTTTGCCCGCGGCTTCACCCGCGTGAAATTTTGTGTCACAGATCGGCATAAATTATATAGCCTATATGTTAATCTGGGTTACAAACAATAATACTGTAAAGTTTCAACAAAAACCGTTCAGTACTTATTGAGTGAAAGAGTAACAAACATCCAGACATCCAAACTTTCGCATTTATAATATTAGTAGGATAGTAGGATTGAGTCGTATCTTATTTTGAAAGAACCATATTCTACTGATACTTGGGCTCACTTACGTCGCCATTATTGATTTATTGTGATTTAATTAAAGCAGGATAATGTTCGTTGCGTTGTAACACAAGGTGTGTTACAAAATTCTATAAAATCTAAAGAAAAAATTATCGGTTTCTTGAAGATAGTGAAAACTGTGGAAACTGCTTTCCATCTGAGCAGGCATGTCGTTTATTGATGAGCATGACAGATGGATGAGCTCATCTTTTATAAGAGATTTTTCCATGTTTAAACTTTCAGTGAAAAGTTAACAGGAAGTAGGTAGATACCTAGTAGTTATTGAGTATTTTCTTAATTTAACTTTAATGTATATTGTTCGAGAAAGAAAGTTAAATAAAACCCACGCGAAAACGGATTTTTATTTTATTACGCCGAGCACGAGCCATTTCGTACGTGAATCAAAAGTTTAAAATTCCAGATGTGAATAATTCTCGGGAATCGTATGTTTGACACAGTGCAAACAGACAGTAGTTTACTTTTAACTCTAGGAAAATGTGCAGCCATTACATATGAGCATATTAATTTCATAAGACATTTAGGATTTTTTAAGTGTAAGTAGAGTTGAAAGATCTTTCACTTGATTCACATTTTGTGCCTCTTTCTAAGAATGAACCTTTCTAAAAACCACATGATTTTAGAGACTTTAATTCGTTTGCTCTGTGTAGCATAGGTATCGTAAATCTTTCTGTATCTGAACTTTGATTACACCTATTTACTTTTATTTGAATTATATGACCCAGGAACCTCTTTTAATTTCTTCTTCTTCTTAAAAGTAAATGAATGTCGATTTAATTTTTAAGTTTAAGAAGAACATTGATTAAAAACCAGGCTTCTATCGTGAAGGTTGCGGACCTCAGTTTTAGATTAGATGGCGCTGTGAAGTGTCCAACGGTATTCTTATAAGTTTTAAAGCATTAATTGTGACACAAATAAATTTTATTAAAATCAGATTGGATCTTAAATTACTACTGTTTCTTCTATACTGTGTACAGGCATTGCGTTTATAGTTTTACGGCGCACTTATAGACCAAATCGCTTGAAATGGAACGATCGAAAATAGTTCGAAACGTCGATACAGCGGGCTTAGATCCGAGTCCACGGAGCACTCGCCAGTCACGACTCCAGAATGCGTTGAGATTGATCCCCGACAGATTTACGAATATTTATCCCATAAAAGATCTAAGAAAACTTACTTTTACGTTTAATATACTGTTCCAGACATCATTTTAGCTCGCATTGTAAACAGTATTTTAAAATACACATGAAACGTGTAGACTAACTCAAATGAACGTTCTTGCACATAAATAATTGTATAGTTAGGGGAATCGACCCCGCGACCTCTGTTAGGCTACCAGGCCAGCCATCCAACGGCTGGCTCAACTCATTCATCCGATAGAAAGTACCTTTGCAGGATATATGATACCTAGTTTATACTGGTTTTAAGCACTAAACCAGACCAAATCCAAAACCAAACCAAAATCGTGAAAACCCCAAACTCAGCGTATTATTGAAAACAGATACCTACATACCTACTTGATTTCAGGATGTTGTTATTCCGAGGAAACTCCGAAATACCATCCCGGCTTAAATATTTTAACATTGCAGCAAAACCTATTCGGGTCCGCGTCCGAAACAACACCGCAAAATGATTAGCAAAAAAAGCTTTACATCGAAAACGTATTAGGCCTGACCCGAATAACTCGAGCTACCCCGAACGGCAATAAAAAGTGCCCAAGTCTGCTGGCATTGCCCCAAAAGCAGAGGCGTCAAGCGCGGGGCGAGGGCGGGGAATGACGTCACGGCTTCGACCCGCCGCTCTGCCGCCTAAACCTTGGTGCCTGAACCCCAGTCTCAATCGGACCTCTTGATCTAAGGCTGTATGGCCGCGCATTCCTTCGCCAAATAACTAAAGCTGTATGTTCGTGGATTCCTTTACATGAAAAAAAAAAACAACTGTCTTTTTATTTTTTTTTCAAAATGTCTCCTGAACTAAAGTTAAATTTTTGGTGCACTTATAATTTTGGAAGCAGAGGCTGAGGTGAGCTTTAGAGCTAATGGTATTTAGTTTTAGTGCCTAGAATTAGTTATTGCTAGAAATAATGATTGGTAGCGGTAGTCTGGACATCATATTCATATTTTAGTTCACTTTTTGATGATTATTTAAAAATAAATTGAAGTTTAACTAGGCAATTTTAATCTGACTTACAATTTTTTTGTGAATTGGATGTGGAATATTATAATTTATGCCCAGTGCTATTGAGCAATGTTCAAGTTACAAGTAGAATAAATTGAAAAAGTTTAATGAAGTCAAAGTGAAAATGAAACTTCAATAATGAAACTAAAGTTTGAAGTATTAGGTAAAAATTTAAATTATTTTTCTTTCATGTCAAAATTTTCTTGAACATTGCTCAAATGTTCAGTATGGGTAAGTTAAAAATTTAAATTGTTTTTCATTCATATCAAAATTTGAACATTGCTCAAATGTTCAGTATGGGTAATTCTTAAATAAAAACAAACGTTATTATTAATTTGTCGTTTATATTTTTTCCAACGAATGTGCATGATGTTGTAACCTTTGTCTGTCTAGGTGCATTTAGTACCATGCATCCAGTTCTAGGCCCGTAATAATATGCCGATCTCGATTTTAAACCTGAGCTTGAGTGTAATTCAATACCTACTATTAATTTAGTCGTAATCATTAAAGTTTGATTGAAAAGAAGAAGATCTGAAATGAAGTAAGTGTCACGATCGCTTCATTATAATTGAGATCGGCCTGAAACCCTATCACACAAACTATTAGAGCATGTAACTAACAATAAAAATATTTTCTTTCTTTTAGTAACTTATGTAATTCGTTTTTCCACGTCCATGAATATATTATTCATAGTTTAAGTTACCTAAAAATATGATAGTTCATATTTTCAGCAATATCTTGCAGCATTTTCCTAAATCAAGTCTATTTCTGTTTCGGAGATATAATGTTTCGATGCAATTAATATTTTTACGAAATTGCCTAATGTAAAAACGGTGTTTATGCAATTTTCATTTGACAACAGTTACCTACCATTTCTTTCGAATATTTAAGAAGTGATAATATTACTGTTCCTTAGTCACGCATGTCATGTTGTGCGCTTTAGTGACAGTTTGTGTGACAGAGTTTGACACGGGCCTAGACCCAGGCATGTATCTGATTGTGTGTCGCGTTGCATGCAGTCGGCACCCCTCGCCTGCGCCGACCAATGACAAACTACAAGCCCTTGGTAAGCACTTTCTGTTGCTATATTAAAATTGTTTTATACCTGTGAAACAAAGTAAAAACGCTTGCTCCTGCACGTTTTTTATGCGTGTGCAGTAAAAATGCTCGCTCCTGCACGAAAATGTATAGACCCGTATTACAGAACGGCACTCTGAATCTTGACTCACGGATGGACTCCAAGCTAAGATTACATCTAGTACCTACTTGTGAATCTAGAGTTTTTAGCGTTGTTCAAGAATATGAGCTTTTATAAAATTGACAATAGTTCATCGTCTAGTATGATGACCACAAAGTAGATATTATAGCTGTTTAACGTAGTAACAACACTAACTTTAATACTTAAGAGTTAATTACCTATTAGATACAAAAATAAAGTTAGTAATTTAGAAATGAGGTTATTTTTAGATATTGTTGATAATGGCAATAATAATATACGAGTAAATAACTTTGGAAACTTGCATATTTCTAATTATTGTAATGAAAAATTATAAGAGCCATTAATTGCTATGACGTCACGCCTTACGTCACAATAATAATGCATGCCCGTATATTGGCAATGAATAGCGTCGCCCCATTTCATTCAGCCATTACACGTACTTCTCATATTTAATAAGTGAGATGACTCGAACGGAAGATCCTAAACCAGAGATTAAAGAATTTGTTGTATAAGTAAATAAGTAGGTATGAGAGTATTTTTTTATCCACAACGAGGAAGCTCTTGGCCTGTATCTCACCTGATGGTAAGTGACGATCAGGCCGAAGGTAGAAGCGAGCTTCACCCGAAATCCTCAACCACAGAGGGACTGGCTATCTTAGCTCTAACTGCCGGAACACAACAATACTGTTTTGCATTAATTAGGAAGCTAGTTACTGACTTAATGAGGTCTCTATAACTCGTGTAAAAGCTCTCACCCGGGCAATGAGANTAATGCGATTTTGTGGGTTATTCACCTAGCGCCGAATAGGAATCCGGCAATTAGGTAATCAGTCCTAATCCAAATCCGTCCATCAACTGTCTTTCGTCAAAGTATCTACGGGTTTCGATGTTTTACATTAAATTGCTATAAAATGTAAAAACACGGCTATTTAAACAGTATTAAAGTGTAAATTCATTGAAAATTATGGATATTTGATCGAAAACAGATGGGATTCCGAATTTGACAATCTTTAAAAAAAAAATTAGCAATTTGTATTGCCCAAATTACTAATAGTCTCATTAGCCCCTCGTGTTACAAGTGGGCTCACTACCAATAGTCGAGCGACGGTGGGATTCGAACCCGCGTTCCTCGGATCTCGAGTCGGCCACTCCGACCCCTTCACCGTTCGGCTGTCGTGGCTATAGTTGAAGGATGGGTTTGGATTAGAATTGAATATAGCAAAAACCTAATCGTTGGAGTATAAAACCTAATTTCATTAAATGTGAACTGTTAAAATTTAAAGAAAGGTATGTACCTACTAGTACATAGTCATGAGGTCTAGGTTATGTAAAAAAATAAGTATACCTTCAGCTCGTTTAAGTGAAAACATTAAATGTTCACCGTTAAGTGTTATTGTACCGTTATCACTGTGACAGAGCTCCTCGCATGACGCTTATACTTTGCTTTAAATACTAATTTTACTACTACCGTCACGCAATCCTTTGAACGCAAGCTTGTCCAACTGAAATAAACTTATTCAACTGATTTTAAACCGTATTACCAAGCGGCTAAACTTCAAATTTCAAAAGGGAAGTGAGCATTTGATGGCAGGTTGATGTGCTGAAGACTGTTGTAATAAATTGTAAACAAATGTTTGCAATTAACACTAAGTTAATAATTTCTGTTTGTACATAATATTCAACACACAGAATTGCTACAATGTTATTAAAACTTGTTCTTAGTGTTAAATCTGAAGATATTTTAATAAAATAAAAAGATATATTCACCACTCGAAAAGACTTTAAAACATCAGCTTTACATTTAGTAGAGATGATGGTAAATGGAAGACCTTGCATAGGATGACTATATCGTTGTGTTGTGCGTTGTGCCTTTTGCTATTGAATTGTTTAGTACAAGTGACCTTAATATCAGAGTAAAGAAACTCACACCAATGTAGGGTAGCTGCATGCTGCAGAGCGTTGCGGCGCTGCGCGCGCACGTCGGCACGTGTTCGTTGTTTACCTCACTGCCTCACTACCTCTGCCATTCCTTGGCATTGCCTGCTGGACTGGAAGTAGGTCATCTTCGATTTTAATAAGCCTCCAGCCCCGTGGGACTGGGATGCAAGCCAAAGCCTTGATTCGAAAAATAATACGAGTAAATCGCATCCATTCTTGCTATGAAAACTATAAGTTATCTTTTACCTACTTATCCGTATAACAAACTGTAAAGAAACCAAACGCAGAACTTTTATGGCTAACCGACTCCGAACATCATATAATATTTAGCTTAAGGGTTAATGGAAATATTACTCTTTTAAAACTGCATTTTAGCTAGTCTAATAAACGGTCATTTGCAACTTCGTAGAGTTCTACTTTTCGAGAAACAGGAGTCAGAACCCCGCTGCTCGATTTAGTAGGTAATATTTATACTTAGTATTAATGCTATATCCTAAATCCTATTATGGTAGAGGTAAAGGCAACTGTTGCTTGCTAGAACCCGCTAGAATGCAAAATGGCGTCATCGTGCGATACTCGTGGCCCTACTGCTCAATACTACTTATAATATAACCACTGAAAAAAATATTTGCAGTGGTTATACCAAAATTATCAATATGGGTTTGTGATTTTGTATGATTAGTTGTAAAGTCAGCGTCAAATAGTTCGTGACAGTCAAAGTGGCCAAAAAGTTGACAACACAACCTAATTCCAATTTTAACAAAGACTTGTTGCGAACATTTTAGCTACTTTGGGTGTCACGAACTGTTTGACGCTGACTCTACCACCAAAAACTAAATTACCCGCGATATTTCCAGTACTTAGAAATACGTAGTAGGACCACGGGCATCGTATGGGCGTCATCATCTGTTCCTATGGAATTTGACGTGGATTCTTTATGTTCCAGGGCTCAGCAGATTCAAACTACTCCCAGCCATCGTCGGAACTGTCGCTGGACGAAGACAAGGAGGCGCTGCGCCGCGAGAAGGAAGCGCAGGCACTCTCACAGCTCGACAAGGCCCGGGTATTTTTTTTTAATTTATTTTATTAGGAAAAGCAACAGCAATACAAATACAAATAATGAGACCTCGAAATAATTCTAGATCACTATATTTTTTGATGGATGGATAACCTTCTACCCTCATTTCAGCCGAATGACGTCCACTGCAGGACAAAGGCCTCCCCCAAGGATTTCCACAAGTCAACGACCGGTCCTGGGCTGCCCGCATCCAGACACCTCTCGCGACCTTCAACAGATCGTCAGTCCATCTAATGGCCTTCTACGCTATTCTGTGTATAAGACCAAGAGCTAAGCTAAACTTTGTTTAGCTTAGTTCGTATAGTTGAGGCAGTTTCCCATACAAGTTTACACACTACTATGGAAAACTGCGTCAGCTATGCCAACTAAACTAAAAAAACTTAACTTACTTATCTCTTGTCCTGCAATCTGCATTACTTGTAAAGACCAAAAACGTTCAGCTCAAAACGAGTTGTAATGTTGTAAAAGATCCAGTGTGTTGTGATCGCTTATGAAAACGATCACGACGCGTGGCAATGAAGCTATAATGCGTTCTAAGCACTGTAACCGTCATAACAGAGTGGTTTAATATTGATGGTTCCATTGTTATAATGAAATATGACGGAAATAACCAAGCATTCATCTTTCACTGATTCACAATTAAATTTTGATTAATCTTGTTAAACCTATATTTTTATGCCTGTTCTTCCCTTCTCCGTTCCAGTCGAAGCCGGTCGCGTTCGCGGTTCGCACGAACGTGTCGTACGATGGCACGGTCGACGACGACTCGCCCGTGCACGGCAGCGCCATCTCCTTCGAGGTGCGCGACTTCCTGCACATCAAGGTAATGGAAGTTCTGTCGGTTGTTTATTCTATGGTAACTAGTGCGAATAGCGCGGTAGTTTATTAAGCTGTGGTGCGAATAGCGCAGTGGTTTCCGTGAAATCTCTTACACAGCTAAATTAAATCTTCTTATTACTCTTAAATTAATCAGTATGGATTTTTGAGATGATTTTCCTGCAGTGGAGATTGATAGATGATTGGCCTAATGAGAATAGTGACTTACTCTAAATTTTAACAATAAATATAGCTATATCTATCTAAGAGTGCTTTAAGTCTAATCAGCCGCGGGCAGATGTCTGTAAACGGACTTATAGTCTGATCTGATATCCTGACGACTGTATAATGAACTGCTAGGTACAACTCCAGGGGAAGTACGAGAACAACTAGTAGTTCAGGATTCGGCCGTCTCATGTGGCTGAAATGATGATGATGACTAGGGTTAGCTATAGCCTGAGCTTAAAAAAAACTGCTCTAGCAACTGTCTGTACCAACACCTCTCTCAACTCCAGGAGAAGTACGACAACAACTGGTGGATCAGGCGTCTTGTGAAAGAGGCTAATGTATTGTATTATGTATGAATTTGCAACAAAATAAATACTAAGTTTAGCAGCCGGTCATTATGGAAATCATTAGGGGAGGCCTATGTTCAGCAGTGAACGTCCTTTGGCCAGAGCGTAACTAGGGTGCAGGGCTGGCAAAATGCCACGGGCCCCTGATCGGAGGGGTACCGGGCCCCCCTGAAAAATAACCTTAGATACACCAAGGACCCCATGCAAAGAAAAAAAAAGAATTTTCCTCTGGCCTCGGATGGTATAGTTAAATAGTTACGCCACTGCCTGTGGCTGAAATGATGATGACTATAATCAATAATATAAGTATAAAAAATATAAGTAATAATAATGGTTTAGCTATAATCTGAGCTCTAACAACTGTCTGTACCAACAACTCTCAACTCCAGGAGAAGTACGACAACAACTGGTGGATCGGGCGTCTCGTGAAAGAGGGCTGCGACATCGGCTTCATCCCGTCCCCGGTGAAGCTTGAAGCGGTGCGAGCCGGCTTACAAGCGCGCGGGCGATACACGCGGCCCGCGTCCGCCGCGCCGCTCGCCGCGCCGCTCGCCGCGCCGCTCGCGCCGCCGCTGTCCAGCCGAGGTAGCACCCCCCCCACGCCCGGTACGTCACAGCCATAAGGTGGTCGCACGCTTCGCACGCAGTGCGCTGCCGTCAGTGGTGACCAGAATGCTATGTCACTTATAAAAACTTTTTTTTTTACATTTCATTTCAAAGAAAATTTTTAATAACTTGAGAATCGAATTGCCAAACCAACACGTGCAGATCGCGCGTCCTGTCATTGGCCTATGCACGCGCAGTGGTTGGTTTGGCTGATCGAACCCACCACGCGACCCTTCGCTTGCCAGAATGTCATGAATGTCATGCCTTAATTAATGACAGTCGTTTAAAGGCTTGCGGCACTTTCAGTACTGCTAAAAGCTTTAAAAATGTTCCACTGAAGTTTTTCTTAGTTAAACTTGAACGATAACATTCTGGTCCTCACAATATTATGTCGGTAGCGCATGCTGCGAATGAAGTATGTCATGACTGAATGCATTGCAAAGAAGTCTAAAAAATATAATTTTATTTTGGATAACGTTAAAAATTATATGTATATGTCTCTTTGTGAAATATATTTTTTATCTTTTCTGCAATGCATTGTGCTTTTTCTGCACGCTACTTGCGATTTGATGAAGTTTCACTCTTTCTTCTTTATGTTAACCCTAAAATTTTAATATTAATCAAACTTCAAAATTTCGACAATAAATAAGTGTTTCTACAAATACCATGTGTATTTATGAATAATATTTTATTTATTTAATATCTAAGTACTTATTATAATTATATTACGATAAATAATACCCAAAAACTCAACTAACATGTTTGGCCTTTCTAACTATTAAGGGAATGTTGCCTTCTTCTACTGTATACTAATGAAAGCAGATGGTCTTAAAAAATAATGTCCATTTCGAAATGCATAAATGTGCGTGGAAGTATGTACAATTTCACTCACTGCACTTTTTATTACCTTTTGTCTAAGGTTAAGTACCAAATGTGTACTTGGCATAAAACTTCAACAAAGAGTAAATAGCACAGAAGTAGCACATTCAGTCTAGTGACCATCTTTCAAATGCTTTTATCATGCGCCAGACAAAAAGGGAAATAATATAATTTTAGAGATTTACTAACAAATACAATATTTTTAACATCTGCAACCCTTGATAGGTTTATCGTATTGATAAAGTTTAGGATGCATTAACTTAAAATGTTTTTTATATTTACCAATTTATCGTACGCTAAATATTTATTATGTTTATGTTTCAAATGATTATTAAATTATCTCTCAATAGCTTATCATAATTTATAACAAAACCCCTAAAGTTGGTTCCGGATTGCCATGACCCTAGTATTTCTATACTAAAAGCAAATTAAGTATGTATTTTACCTGTGAAATAATCAGAAACATGATTTCTACTGAACAGTTCTGATCTCCTTTCGTCTGGCGTAGTGCATAACGTACAACGCAGTTTTGTGTCTACCCACCGAATCGTCAAATCTTTTCTGTTGCCGTTTCAATCTGATTGTCTTATACTTGAAACATTATTTAATTTCAATAATAATAATTTTACTAACAAACAAAGATGAGGCGATTCGTCGGTAGCAGTGATTCGATGTTATAATTGGCTATAATAATCTTTTTTATTATGTAAATAATGATAATCGCAAATAGCGTCCTTATTTCCATCCCTATTTCTAAATTTATGAATAGGAGTACCTCATATACTTTACCAAATTCTGTTTAATCTAATATCCACCCCCAAAATAACGTCTTTCAAAATTATCCGAATCTTGATATGTATGGAATGTATAACTGCTTTGTACTACCATCTCATACACACGGCTCGCTGGTGCAACTTGGTGTCCTGGCGCACTCACCTGCATACTTTCAGACGCGCCCGCCTGCGAGCGAGGTAAGCCCACATTGGCCAGGAATGCTACCAACTTTCACCAAGTATTTATTTGCTGAAATTTTCAACAGATAAAGGACGATGAGCACACGAAAGTTATTGTCAAAACTCAGATTATCCAGCTCAAGACATGCGACAAAAGGTCCATGTTCCGTTTTGAAGTTATATCAGAATAGTTGATCGTTATAATCTGCTATTCTGGTTATAAAAATTTTACTTAGGTAAAAAAAGTCGCTTATCTTCCTTTAATTCAATGATTTGACTATTCTGTTACACAATATTCTTGCTTGTTGCCATCTCCATTGTCCATTGCATATATCCTAATCAAATATACCTACTTATGTTTAGCCATATTAAAAACTTAATTATAATATGGAATGAGGATATTTTAATTTTTAGCAGAAATATCTTCTTTCGTTCTTTTTATTTTGTCTTGTTGCAAACTTTCACGATTACGTTTACCTACATGTTAATATCCAGTTAATACGTAAGTGAAATTTTGCAAAATATGTAACTCTTTTATAAGTTATCGGTGTTCGTCCTGTGATATATTGTAATCAATATTTATTTATGGTGTTATCTATATATCGATATTGTATATATTATATAAATTATAAATGTAATCCAGAGTTACATTTGTCTGTACAGAAATTATTAGATTAAATTTTGAATAAGTGAAACAAGGAACATCTAAAGACAAATGGAACTTTATGTCTATTACTGTAAGTGCTATTTTAAAAATAGTTATACATTTACTAGAGTAATATTATTTATATTATTGCATGAAAAATTATGCTCCCACTAAAGTTAGTATTTACTTAGGTCAAACTTTGCAATATTAAGTTTACATACAGGGTGAAATTTTGTAATGCCACCTGGAGGAAAAGTACTCTTAATACTAGTTTAAATACTTAATAATAGATAGAAAATTTTACTCAAGGAAAACATTCCTTTATTATTGAACCGAAATAGAACTACAATCAAAGATATCCAAAAATATGCTTGCCTGTTGTATAACTAACTAAATAACTAAAAAATATTTTAAAGCTTGGAAAAATAGGAGCTTTTCTACATAAGTAAGTGATTCTAAAAGGTTTGATCAAACTTATGATCTCGGTATTCGAAAGTAGGTAGGTGTAGATATTATTTAGGAACAGTAAAAACAAGTTATTAGAGGTTATTTTATTTACTGGTTTAAAATCTGACGTACTTATTATGAAGTTTCCCAATATTTGCAAAGATGGAAAAATAGGAATAATTGTTCCTGTCTCCCACGATGATAGCCAAAATGTAGCTGTACTGTACTACAAAGTACAAACAAATTGTTAAGCCCAGAATTTGTTCTAATTTGGAGAAAATTTGTTGAAATGTGATAGGGAGAACAAATTAAGCTTCGCCTACTGGGATTGGATAGTTGACACTATAAACTAATAATAAATTCCGATTCACCACATTCTTTTAAAACTTCTTAAATTTTTATTTTGACAAAGCTACGTCATAACTCTTTATATGCAAAATCTGTAAGAATCGCATTAAAACAGCTGATAAAAAGTACCCATATGTCAGCTAATGTGATGGAGGGTATCAAACTATCAAGTATCAACTGCCCAATCCTACACCGCGTGTTATACTTGTACCAGTAGCGGCGTAAGGGGGGGGGGGGGGGGGGGGCGGTGGGGGCGGTCCGCCCCGGGTGCCAAGCATCAGGGGGTGACACAAATCGCGCAGATTAGTACTCACTGGCACATCTGCGTGGCAAATCTGCGGTCTGTCATGTTACGGGAGGGGGGCGATTGTCTTTCAGTCTTCGAATCGGTAGGTGTAGGTAACGCCAAAATCCTGGGGTGTCCCTTAGGACGGGGGGGTGTTTGATCGCCCCGGGTGCCAACCCATGCTACGCCGCCACTGCCTTGTACCCTTGCCTCGCGAGGCAGTGTGTAACGCGGCGCGTCGCCCGCAGGGGAGGAGTCTGACGGGGGGCGGGGCCGCGGCGCGGGCGCACTCCCCGCCGGCAAGGAGAAGCGCAAGCCCTTCTTCAAGAAGCAGGAGACGTGCTCGCCCTACGACGTCGTGCCGTCCATGCGACCCGTCGTGCTCGTCGGGCCCTCGCTTAAGGGCTACGAAGTCACGGACATGATGCAGAAGGCGCTCTTCGATTTTTTGAAGAGGAAATTCGAGGGCAGGTGAGTTGTGATCGGGTTACCCGCATGATGTCTACGTTAATTTAGAGTCTAGATTGTTTTCTTATGTACAGACTCTGTTTAGTTCTGACGCGATATGCCTAATGGTGATTTATTTCTAGTTAAGATGTCATTCAAGTGTTAAGAGCGAGACATGCGTTGCTCTAAAAGCAAGTAGGTATAGCTTAGTGAACTTATCTTAGTTAGTCTTTTAGACCTTCAATACTGTTTCAAACTTTAATTCATTAGTACCGTGCACCTTCCATTCCAATTTAAATAAATTGACTAACTTAATTGGTCGAGCTCGTCAACTAGAGACATCGTTAGCAATTACACAAAAACTTAACGCCAGTCGTATAGCTCATAAATTAGACTATAGAAGTTAGTCTCGCCACGCTGCCCGGGGAGCGCCAGCCGCTAACGCCAGCTCCCGTTCCAGGATAATAATAACGCGCGTGATGGCTGACATTTCGCTCGCCAAGCGCTCGCTCCTCAACAACCCGTCGAAGCGAGCCATCATGGAGCGATCCAACTCGCGATCCACGTGCCTCGCGGAAGTGCAGGTACTCTACCTCTGCTGTGTTGCAGGATCATCATCACGCGCGTGTCAGCCGATATCTCGCTCGCCAAGCGCTCGCTCCTCAATAACCCCCCCAAGAAACCGATCATGGACAGGTCGAACTCGCGAACCAATTGCCTGCAGGAGGTGCAGGTGCGCCGTGAGCTAGTTTGTGGGTAGCGTAGTGCTTGGTTGGACCCGTTGTTCCCGTTGACGGCGATCGGTAGACTTGCTGTGAATGGAGTTGTCGACTAACCGACGATAGTGTCGTGACGAATTCATAATAACTATGTACATAACGATTGCTTCAACCATTCTGGGGAATTCTGAGAATTCATTTTGAGTAAACTAATCAGAAAAAATTCATATTATTTGTTCATGACTACGAACTAAATATGTTACTACATCTGGACCGATATGATTAATGTTATCTTTAGTATGGATCAACAGTTAAATACGAATCTATGTGACGTATTTATGACGATTTCACTGTCCACTCTAGAAGCATTTGGATAGTCTCAATTGAAATATAATTCTTACAAAACACCAGAAACCACAGTTAAAAAGTGCATGGGAAAATGTCGTCCGTCACGACACTATCGAGACTGCAACACTGTTTATGTAATAATCCGTCGATAGTTTGAACGTCGAGTGTCGCATCACTAACCCGACTAAATGCATCGAGCTGTTGTCTCGTCGAAGAGGCTTGAGAGTAGATTGAGGCTTATAATGTAATGAATGATTGGTATTGCTGTGTAACGCAATTTTGTAGTCTGCTTTCTTTTAAGTTTGAACAAAACTTAGTTATTTTCCTTTAAAATCCATAAAAAAATCAATAAATCAGACTGCAACGATTGCGTTAATTGAAAGTGTTAATAATGCCTGTATATGACTGTAGTTATCATTATTTTTCTTAAAAGTGTTATTGGTATGACCCAAATTAACGGATTGAACCATCGTCATTGCAATGTTTCCGAATGTTTGACTCTTCTATGACTATTACCTACCTAATTCACTAAAAGTTTTTTGTGGTTGCTTCCTTACAACCTCTTTCAAAAAATTATCTATGACGATGCAAATAAAAGTTAGGTACCAACCGAATGAGTCCCCCAATCACAAAACTTGGACACAAGTAATGTGCTGCACTTCCAAATGCACTTTCGTGCAAACTCCCCCATGCCCAAGTCTTGATACCTGCACTGAGGGTTGCTAAAGTTATACCATTTTAGGATCAAATCATTTGAATGTAATAAGGAATAGTCCACACTGAACGCGTTACATGATTTTAAAAACGTTTGTCTGTATCTTCTTTTATCATCTCTACAGTATCCACTAGTAAGTGCAAGAGATTTTAACACTGAATTTATCAGCATTTTTCGTGGAGGAAATGCCTCAAACAAGACATTCAGTGTGGACTGTGCCTCTCTATTGTGTATTTTTAAAGAAAAGCTGCTCAGAAAATGGCATGTTTAATGAAAATGGGATGAATATTGTGTGGGTGTTGGTATAATGCCCGTTTTCACCATCAATTCCTAATTTTTAAGTACCTAACCCCTATGGTAACTCATTTACAAATTTTGTTTTCATAAGGGTCACTTAAAAAATTTGGGATTGATGGTGAAAAGAGGCATACAACTATTCCTGGGATGTTTTAGTAGAGACACATTTTCTGTGCCATACCATTTCCTGAGCATCAACACGACAGCACATCAGGCTAAAAGGCATCGTACGTAGTTGTATTACGTGCCATTTCGCAATAACGTGTACTGATGTGCGTGTGCGTGGTATGCGCCGACGCAGGCGGAGATCGAGCGCATCTTCGACCTGGCGCGCACGCTGCAACTCGTGGTGTTGGACTGCGACACCATCAACCACCCCAGCCAGCTGGCCAAGACCTCGCTCGCGCCCACCATAGTCTACTTGAAGATATCCAGTCCGAAGGTGAGCTCATTTTGACACTTCTTCTGCAGAATGCGCCAANTGCGCCAACTAATGATAAAAAAGAAGCCTTTGATCATTATTTGGAGCATTTTATGACTTCCTAGAAATTGATCCTTATTAGTGTGGAATGAAACGCCTTGAGTGAATGAGGCTAATGTATGAACGATAGGAATCTATGAATGAAGGATGAAAGATTGTGGATTTAACTATACTCCCTGGCTCGAAGAATCGCAGTGCACCTCAATTGATGGTGAAGTCAAGTCCGTCACAGGTTTTGTGACCTCAAAAGTGACTAACCTAACTAAATCTGTGTTGACATCGACTGCCGATTCGGGTAATCTTATTGATCCCTTTCGAGAGCTAAACGATTATGGTAAACCCCCTCCTGATATAAGCATACATTTAGTTTACTTATACCACTAGATACGTAAGATTTGGATTATATCTCTCCACTCCGGCGTTTCCAGGTCCTCCAGCGGCTGATAAAGTCCCGAGGCAAGGGGCAGACAAAAAACCTGTCGGTGCAGATGGTAGCAGCCGAGAAGCTGTCGCAGTGTCCCACCGACATGTTCGACGTCATCCTAGATGAGAACCAGCTCGAAGACGCCTGTGACCACATCGCGGAGTATCTGGAGGTCAGTCATCTTACTTTACACCATCAGCATCTATCAGGGATCTGTCGGTGCAGATGGTAGCAGCCGAGAAGCTGTCGCAGTGACCCACAGACATGTTCGACGTCATCCTGGACGAGAACCAGCTCTAAGACGCCTGTGACCACATCGCGGAGTATCTGGAGGTCAGTTGACCTTGACTCACACCATTAGCATCCATCAAGGATCTGTCGGTGCAGATGGTGGCGCAAAGAAGCTCTCGTAGTGCCCGACGGATATGTTTGACGTCATCCTGGACGAGAACCAGCTTGAAGACGCCTGTGACCACATCGCGGAGTATCTGGAGGTGAGTCATCTTGACTCACACCATAAGCATCCATCAAGCATTTGTCGGACAGATGGTGACGCCGAGAAGCTGTCGCAGTGCCCTATGGACATAGTGGCGTAGCTAGGTAACCAAGGGCCCTGGGGCAAATAAAACATTGGGCCCCACTGCTATCTAAACTGGTTAGGTTTTTATCAAGCTTAGTAGCTACGCCACTGCGGACTTCGACGTCATCCTGGACGAGAACCAGCTCGAGGACGCCTCGAGGATCACGGAGTATCTGGAGGTCAGTAGTCTTGACTCACACCATCAGCATCTATCAAGCATCTGTCGAGCAGCGGGTGATGCCGAGAAGCTCTCTCAATGCCCCATGGACATAGTGGCGTAGCTAGGTAACCAAGGGCCCTTGGGCAAAAAAAATGGGGCCCCACTGCTATCTAAACTGGTTAGGTTTTATCAAGCTTATTAGCTACGGCACTGCTGACATATTCGACGTCATCCTGGACGAGAACCAGCTCGAAGACGCCTGTGACCACATCGCGGAGTATCTGGAGGTGAGTCATCTTGACTCACACCATCAGCATCCATCAAGCATCTGTCGGACAGATGGTGACGCCGAGAAGCTGTCGCAGTGCCCCACGGATAGTGGCGTAGCTAGGTAACCAAGGGCCCTGGGGCAAAAAAATGGGGCCCCACTGCTATCTAAACTGGTTAGGTTTTATCAAGCTTAGTAGCTACGCCACTGCGGACTTCGACGTCATCCTGGACGAGAACCAGCTTGAAGACGCCTGCGAACATATCGCGGAGTATCTGGAGGTGAGTCATCTTGCTTCAGACCATCAGCACCCATCAATCATCTGTCGGACAGAGGGTGACGGCCGAGAAGCTCTCTCAGTGCCCCATGGACATAGTGGCGTAGCTAGGTAACCAAGGGCCCTGGGGCAGATAAAAAAATGGGGCCCCACTGCTATCTAAACTGGTTAGGTTTTATCAAACTTAGTAGCTACGCACTGCGGACTTCGACGTCATCCTGGACGAGAGCCAGCTTGAAGACGCCTGTGACCACATCGCGGAGTATCTGGAGGTGAGTCATCTTGACTTACACCAGTGTTTCGCGCAGTGGGTCGCGAAGTCTCTTTAGGGGGGTCGCGAGAGCTCGTAAAAACTACCTCAGTAAAAAATCAGAGAAGTTTTAAAGCTAGATTTATTCCAAATCTACTCGTAATTATGCAAATGGATAAATGTTGTATAGATTTGAAGAATTCGGTCCCTACAACATCTTTGTAAAAGGCATGAAAAAAAAAGCAAACGGTCGGGGGGTCGCAAAAAATTTTTTCATACTAGGGGGGTCGCGTCATGAAAAAGGTTGAAAAACACTGACTTACACCATTAGCATCCATCAAGCATCTGTCGAGAAGTTGTCACAGTGCCCCATGGACATAGTGGCGTAGCTAGGTAACCAAGGGCTCTGGGGCAAATAAAAAAATGGGGCCCCATTGCTCTCTAAACTGGTTAGGTTTTATCAAGCTTAGTAGCTACGCCACTGCGGACTTCGACGTCATCCTGGACGAGAATCAGCTTGAAGACGCCTGTGACCACATCGCGGAGTATCTGGAGGTCAGCAGTCTTGACTCACACCATTAGCATCCATCAAGCATCTGTCGAGCAGCTGTCGCAGTGCCCGACGGACATGCAGTGGCGTAGCTAGGTAACCAAGGGCCCTGGGGCAAAAAAATGAAGCCCCACTGCTATCTAAACTGGTTAGGTTTTATCAAGCTTAGTAGCTACGCCACTGCGGACTTCGACGTCATCCTGGACGAGAACCAGCTCGAAGACGCCTGCGACCACATCGCGGAGTATCTGGAGGTCAGTAGTCTTGACTCATTCCCTCAGCATCCATCAATCATCTGTCGGACAGAGGGTGACGGCCGAGAAGCTCTCTCAGTGCCCCATGGACATAGTGGCGTAGCTAGGTAACCAAGGGCCCTGGGGCAGATAAAAAAATGGGGCCCCACTGCTATCTAAACTGGTTAGGTTTTATCAAGCTTAGTAGCTACGCCACTGCGGACTTCGACGTCATCCTGGACGAGAACCAGCTCGAAGACGCCTGCGACCACATCACGGAGTAACACAGGAGGTCAGTAGTCTTGACTCACACCATCAGCATTCCCTTCCCTCTTTTATAATACTAAATATACGGGACCTCCTGCCACCTCTCGTTCCCACCGCTGATATAGATCCTGGCTATACAATGGCAGTACAGACACCTGGCAAGTGAAGAGAGAATAGGTTTACCAAGGCTGAGTTGCACCACCTTATTTTAACCGTAACAACAACAATCCACCGTTGCTTTTTGTATGTTGTTTGTCAGATTTTTGACGTTTGTCAAAGTTAAAATGATGGTGCAACCCAGCCTTAAAGTATAGTCCGGTCGCCGAGCACGTAGAATTTCGTCCAATGACCCCGTGCGAGCGCGACAGCAATATAATTACACGCGAGCGATAAGGATGGGTAGCTTGGGGTCATTGGACGAAATTCTAAGTGCTCGGCGACCGGACTTTAAAAAAAATACTGTTGAAAGTGAGCCAAGTTCAGGGTGTCGCATGTGTTTTCCAGGCGTACTGGCGAGCGACGCACCCGCCGGCGCTGGCGCCGTCGCTGCCGCGGCCGCTGCCGCACGCGCACGCGCCGCACCCGCACGCGCCGCACCAAGCGCAGCCTGGTGAGTTCACTAACATAACATAACTGCTCTGATCACACCCGTGCAAAGCGGCGTCAAATTGTTCGTGACACCTAAAGTAGATGGGAAATACTATAGACCTCATAAGAAGGCTTAAGGTCAGCCAAAGGGCGATGGAGCGTGCTACGCTCGGAGTTTCCCTGTGTCATCAAATCAGAAATGAGGAGATCCCCAGGAGAACTAAAGTGACTGACATAGCCCGCAGAATCGCTTAAATCAAGCGGCAGTGGGCGGGGCACATAGCTTGCAGAGCTGATGGCCGCTGGGGCAAAAAAAGTTCTCAAGTGGCGACCACTAGCCGGAAGACGTAGAATGGGCAGGCCTCCCACTAGGTGGACCGATGATCTGGTGAAGGTCGCCTGAGGTGCCTAGATGCGGGCGGCGCAGGATCGTTCTTTGTGGAAATCTGACTTGTCTGAAAAAACGAACGATGGGTCGTAGTAGCCTAAAAGTTCGCTATACGTCTTAATTTGTTTTAATTGGAATAAGGTTGTGTTGTCAACTTTTTGACCATTTTGAATGTCATGAACTATTTGACGCTGTACGTCGCAAGTTTTAGGGAGTCTCGTGGGGATCGTTTGACTAGCGAGTACTGTTTTATAATGATACTTATTTTTTACTATGCCTTAAGAAGCGCCTAATAGTTTACTATTAATGCACCAACTTGAAGAAGATAGATCTTTAGGTATCTCTAAGATATGGTCTATGGGAGAAAACTGGCAAATGATCCCCGCGACACCCAAACCTTTTATTGGTCTATTAAAATCAGCTTATAGGAGGATAGGGAGAGACGATACAGTCATGGCAACTACAAAATATAAACTTAAATTTTCACAAGGTTCTTAATACCAAGAAGATCCATTTCTGCTTAAGTGAATAATAAAATAATACTAAATATTTTTATACTAAAAGATGCTTATCATACCACCAACTTTATTTATACTTAATTACTTTTTAATTTCAGCGTCATGCTCAATACTACTACTGTTCTAAATATGACACATTTTATTTACACTACAATGACAATAAATACAACATCTGTCTCTAACTGTCTTATCGTTACTAACCTGAAACTAAAAATAACTAAAGGTGAATATAGACTAGAACATTTACTTGTAACAGAACAAAGAGCCGCTCTATGAAATGTTCTAGTATCAGTGTCACCCTTAATCACCCTTTCACTAACCAAACATTGTACATTTTATCTGTGTGGCTAGCACGAAAAACTTTCATCTTCGAATCGTTTGCGTATTCGAAAAAATGCGATACCCAGCCATCGAAATCAACGATAATAATACGACGATCTCGACTGTCAAAATTAGTTTCGTTCTACCATTTCTCATACTGAGTTCACTTTAGGTCAAGTTCACAGGGGCGCTGTTTAAGTTTTCATACTAAATTTTTTGATGGCGATTCTAAAGGCTAAAGGTACTGTATAAAGCCTGGTCCGTGAGCACGTAGAATTTTGTCCAATGCGGGCGCCCGTCGCACAGTCGCGACAGCTATATAATTACGCGCGCCAAGCTACCCACGTCATTGGACAAAATTCTACGTGCTCACGGACCAGCCTTTAGTAACATTCTCAAGAACGTTACGTTACATAGAAAAGCTCTAGTCTATAATCTCCTTAACATATGAATATCATAGTTAACTGTTTGCTTCTTGTCAATAACTGTGTGTTCCCTTACTGACCCCCCCGCGCACCCCGGCGGGCCCCGCGAGCGCGCCGACTCCTACGGCTACGAGCGCGAGCGAGGTAACTAACACACTAACACCACCCTTATTGCGACTGGGAAGTAACACTACAGGCTGTGGTCTTGTAAAACAACACATGTAGTACACGTGAATGTAATGACAGGAAAAATATAAATAAAATTTTAACTATTACTTTAATAGTAAAAAACCTTGTTCAAACATCTCCTAAAACTTTCGAGACGGCACTTTTCGGGGATGGCACTCACGGGATTTTTCCACGAGAATTGAAAATATTTTTTTTATATTTTTTTGCATCAGTGTCGTGTAAACTACTTCCCTTCAGATGGGCGTTGTTTTACAAAACCACACCTTGTATACCTGCTACTTGAGCTTGACTGGACACGCTACCGCGTGTTTACATAAAATACCTAGTTTATGCTGTCACACACAGTTTTCTTTTACAGAGTTGTGTCTCTCAAATACTAGCCTAATGCAATTTGGTCATTTATCGTAAATGCTATTACTTCCCAGTTTCAAAATCATACTTTAATATTAAGACTGTTGTATTATTTATGTATATCATTATAGAAAAGTTCACCCTCGCAAAAATCTTAATCATTATGAAATCTTTAAACTTTCTTAATACCGTAGCTTCCATTAGTAAGTAATTTATGTAAACATTTCAGTAGATTCGTTTTAGTCACAGCACGTTCATAGTAAAAGTAGTCCGTTGATTTCATGTTGTAGTAACGTAGATGTCGCCTCCCCGCCCCGGGCATATGGAATGTCCGTCCCACTGACCCTACCTGTTCATTTCAGTACAAGCGTCCGGACAAGCGCACTAACCGCCGACCGAAGATCATTATTCCAGCATTTCCAGACGTACCCTTTATTAGCCGACGCGGCAGCCGGTGGCGTTCCCAGGTTGACACTTTTAGCGGTCGCCCGCGATAACTCGCTTCGCTACCGGGTGTCGCTTACTAACGCGAGCCAACCGTCGAATGCAGGCGCCACACAACACTCAGCTTCACACTTCCAGAAGGGGCTCCCGCTCGCCGAATGCGTCGTCACTCGCGGAGGTCTTCCAGCTTCTGAATCTGTTTGGAGTTTATTTTTCTAGCGATTAACTCAGCGTTTGATTTGACACACCAAGCATGGACTAACGGTTTTCGTTTGATTTGAGCTAAAGCCTGGTCCGTGAGCACGTAGAATCCCGTCCAACGACCCCAAGCTACCCATCCCTATCGCTCGCGTGTAATTATGTTGCTGTCGCGACTGTGCGACGCGCAGTGAGTGTGCGAGCGCGACAGCAACATAATTACGGGTCATTGGACGGGATTCTACGTGCTCACGGACCAGGCTTTAGTCACTCAGTGTGTCGGGTGAGCTGGAAGACCGCGGTATCGTAATCCGTCATAGGTGGAGCGGGAGNGAGTCATCTTGCTTCAGACCATCAGCACCCATCAATCATCTGTCGGACAGAGGGTGACGGCCGAGAAGCTCTCTCAGTGCCACATGGACATAGTGGCGTAGCTAGGTAACCAAGGGCCCTTGGGCAAAAAAAATGGGGCCCCACTGCTATCTAAACTGGTTAGGTTGTATCAAGCTTAGTAGCTACGCCACTGCGGACTTCGACGTCATCCTGGATGAGAACCAGCTGGATGACGCCTGCGACCACATCGCGGAGTATCTGGAGGTGAGTCATCTTGACTCACACCATTAGCATCCATCAAGCATCTGTTGAGAAGCTGTCGCAGTGCCCGACGGACAGGCAGTGGCGTAGCTAGGTAACCAAGGGCCCTGGCCCCTGGGGCAAATAAAACATTGGGGCTCCACTGCTATCTAAACTGGTTAGGTTTTATCAAGCTTAGTAGCTACGCCACTGCGGACTTCGACGTCGTCCTGGAGGAGAACCAGCTCGAGGACGCCTGCGACCAAATCGCTTAGTATCTGGAGGTCAGTTAATTTTGAACTTATACCATCAGCATCCCCTTCCCTCTTTTATAATAATAAATGTACGGGACCTCCTGCCATCTCTTGTTCTTACCGCTGATATAGATCCTGGCTACAGAGTGGCAGTACACACACCTGGCAAGTGAAGAAAGAATAGGTTTACTAAGGCTGAGTTGCACCACCTTATTTTAACCGTAACAATAACAATCCACTGTTGCTTTTTGTATGGAGTTTGACATAATTTATTATGTTTGACGTTTGTCAAAGTTAAAATGATGGTGCAACCCAGCCTTAGAATATATCCGGTCGCTGAGCACGTAGAATTTCGTCCAATGACCCCGTGCGAGCGCGACAGCAAGATAATTACACGCGAGCGATAAGGATGGGTAGCTTGGGGTCATTGGACGAAATTCTACGTGCTCGGCGACCGGACTTTAGAAAAAAATACTGTTGAAAGTGAGCCAAGTTTAGGGTGTCGCATGTGTTTTCCAGGCGTACTGGCGAGCGACGCACCCGCCGGCGCTGGCGCCGTCGCTGCCGCGGCCGCTGCCGCACGCGCACGCGCCGCACCCGCACGCGCCGCACCAAGCGCAGCCTGGTGAGTCGCACCACGAGTACCACGAACACTGCTGCCGCTCCCATCAGCCGCGCGGTTAAGAGCGTTTACGCCGATTGGCGCAAAAACAGTATTTTCAACCCGTTACAATCATTAACCAATTACATTACAAATATGTTATAGGCATAAATAATTAGGCAATTTCGTCGTCTAAATAGTTAGTTGAGAAAATATTTCGATTAGTATAGTATTTAAGAGTTCTATCAAGATAAGTCCACACAGGTTTTCAAATTTCCGCTTTAGCGTCAGTTTACAAGCTGAAATTTTTATAAAAATACTGTGAAAACGATATAACAAACATTTATATCCTATAGCATAGATCCTTAGGCAAATAGTTAGTCGAGAAAATTCTTAGATTTAAGCATTTTACAATAAGAAATCACAAATGCAAAGAACGTGAAATACCCAAAAATCAAAGTGATTTTTACACCATTATTTTTCTTTAATTCAATATAAAAATAGCTTAATATAATAAAATAACATCTTCTTTAAAATATTTACTTTGAAACGATATATAATTCATTGTTATTGTTTTGCTAAACATTTGAAAACTATTAAAAAACGCCGCGCGCGAATCATTTCCAATGATGCCCCTTGAAACGCCGCGCTTCGCGTAAACGCTCTTAACCTTCAACCACACCAACGCGTGCAGATTGCCATCGCTGGCCCGATATTAGGCCAATGACAGGTCGCGTGGACTGTCATGGGTCGCGCGACCTGTCATTGGCCTATGATCGCGTCGGCGTTGAAGCATTAGGGTGTTCTTAATATCGTGCGGATTTCATCGCGGACACGGGATTGCCCCGCATGCGTAACATCCACGAGTGTCTTTTTCATACAAGTAATAATAATTATTGTAATCCGCCCGCTCGCCCGCAGAATCGCTAAAATCAAGTGGCAGTGGGCGGGGCACATAGCTCGGAGGGCTGATGGCCGCTTGGGCAGGAAAGTTCTTGAGTGGCGACCACGAGCCGGAAGACGTAGCGTGGGCAGGCCTCCCACTAGATGGACCGACGATCTGGTGAAGGTCGCGGGAGGTGCCTGGATGCGAGCGGCGCAGGACCGGTCTTTGTGGAAATCCTTGGGGGAGTCCTTTGTCCAGCAGTGGACGTCTTTCGGCTGAAACTAACGAATTATTGTAATGCAATGCAATACGACGCGGGGTGTTGGGGGACGCGGGGCAACTCTGCATCCGTGATGAAACAGGCGCGGATCCAGCCCTCAAAAAAGGTTGTGGGCACAACCACCAAAAATTAGCAAAGTGAGAGTTGGATCACTACATGCCCGGATATACATACATGCCTATCGATCTTATCAATAGATCATAATTAAAACAAGCAAATTAGGGTTGTGGGCATGCCCACAGTGCCCACAACGGTGGATCCGCGCCTGTGATGAAATTCACACGATATTAAAAACGCCCTTTACGGAGCGGCACACGTGACCGACACTAGTTTTTGGGGGTATCGTAGGGATCATTTGACTAGCGATTATTTTGTTATAACGACATTAATCTGGGCTTCTTCAAGGATTAACGGTGATTGCAATCAAATAGCTGCCTTGTTCTGAAGCTTAATCATGAAATACTATTTTATGGTCATTAAATGAACGAACAATTGGCAAATACTCGTATATTTTATACGTTTGTGTTATTTTAACTACGAGAGTATAGTCGCTTTAAAAGTAACATTTTGAATCTTAATTTGACTAACTCTATAACTATGGTATGGTGACATCTGGCATGGCATACCAGGGGTTAATGGAAACTGGTAAATGATCCCCGCGATACCCAAAACTTTTGTTGGTCTATGTGGTTTCTTTAAACTTAAACCAACTTATCTATAGGGAGACACGATAGCGGTGCAACCGCAGTCTTGGCAACTACAGAATTCAGACTTAAGATTATTTTTCTTACATGAAATTGTTTTGTTTTAAGTAAAATTATTAAATTCTCACAAGGTTCTTAATACTAAGAAGATCCCGTTCTGCTTATGTGATTAATAATATAATACACTTTACTGAACATTTCTTATACGAAATCAAACTTTAACATCGTTGCTAATCAAACTACCAACTTTTTATACAAGGCTGAGTTGTACCACCAAACTTTAACGGTAACTATAACGATAACTGATGGTTTTTGTATGGAGTTTGACGTTTGTCAAAGTTATTGATGATTATGATGGTGCAAGTCGGCCGTAATAAATTACTTTAATTACAGCTACTCATACTGATAAAAGTATGACACTTTTATGACACAATTTTATTTACACTACAAATGATAATAGAAGCATCTGTCTATAACTGTCTAATCCTCAGTAACCTGAAACTAAATATAGTTCTAATAATATCATATTAACTGTTGGCTTCCTCGTCAATAACTGTGTGTTCGTTTACTGACCCCCCCGCGCACCCCGGCGGGCCCCGCGAGCGCGCCGACTCCTACGGCTACGAGCGCGAGCGAGGTAACTAACACACTAAAGTCTGTTCGCCGACAGTTGATAAATATTATCAAATGTCTTGCAATAGCGACTGTCGCTTAATTATCGCATTCTGTATGGCGGGCGTCGTATGTCACAACGCGCACTGAGTACCATGGTACGAGCCACGCAGCTGTCGTCAAGCGCCCCGGCCGACGGGCGGCGGCGGCCACAGCGTGACCACTTTTAGTAGATTTCTACTTTTTTGGTAGATTTGAGGCAAAGAGAACGATGATTTAGTAGTGCGAAATCGTTTAATAGATTTTGGTAGATAATTGGTATTTTTAGAACATTCTTATAAATGGTAGTCCAAAATTAAATTGTAACCGAGCCGAGAATCCAGGCCAAAAAAAAAAGGCCGGGCCAAATAATCTACAAACTTTTTCATTATATCGACAAAAATAATTAGCGGGCCGCAATTTATAATGAGTTTAGAACCTCTGATATTTAATTTTTTTATCAACTCTCGGCGAACAGACTTTAATACCTTATTACCTTATAACACACTTATACCCTTATTGCAACTGGGAAGTAATAGTGAAACAAGATGTCCTACATTGAACCGTCCCACCCGTGACATTGACAGGGGGCGCCTCCGTCAATACCAGATCGCTGGTTCCGATTGCCCTCGTTGGAAAACACTGAAATGTCATTTGCAGGAGCGCGCTGCCATCAATGCCGGGTTACTGTTTCCAATCTTTGCCATTTGACGTTTCAAAATCGTTCATTATAATCTAGGTATACCTTCTAGCTAGATTATATGGGCACCACACAAAGTTTTCTTTTTTTTAGAGTTTTTATCGCATACTTCCCCCAAACACTATCCTAATGCAATTGGTCATTTATCGTAAATGCTATTACTTCCCATTTTCAAAATCATACTTTAATATTAAGACTGTTGTATTATTTATGTATATCATTATAGAAAAGTTCACCCTCGCAAAAATCTTAATCATGTAATTATTCAATTTTCTTAATACTGTAGCTTCCATTTAGTAATTTTATGTAATTATTTCAGTAGATTCGTTTTAGTCACAGCACGTTCATAGTAAAAGTAGTCCGTTGATTTCATGTTGTAGTAACGTACTCGTAGATGTCGCCTCCCCGCCCCGGGCATATGGAATGTCCGTCCCACTGACCCTACCTGTTCATTTCAGTACAAGCGTCCGGACAAGCGCACTAACCGCCGACCGAAGATCATTATTCCAGCATATCCAGACGTACCATTTATTAGCCGACGCGGCAGCCGGTGGCGTTCCCAGGTTGACACTTTTAGCGGTCGCCCGCGATAACTCGCTTCGCTACCGGGTGTCGCTTACTAACGCGAGCCAACCGTCGAATGCAGGCGCCACACAACACTCAGCTTCACACTTCCAGAAGGGGCTCCCGCTCGCCGAATGCGTTGTCTCGCGGAGGTCTTCCAGCTTCTGAATCTGTTTGGAGTTTATTTTTCTAGCGATTAACTCAGCGTTTGATTTGACACACCAAGCATGGACTAACGGTTTTCGTTTGATTTGAGCTAAAGCCTGGTCCGTGAGCACGTAGAATCCCGTCCAATGACCCCAAGAGCTGCCCATCCCTATCGCTCGCGTGTAATTATGTTGCTGTCGCGACTGTGCGACGGGCGCCCGCAGTGAGTGTGCGAGCGCGACAGCAACATAATTACGGGTCATTGGACGGGATTCTACGTGTTCACGGACCAGGCTTTAGTCACTCAGTGTGTCGGGTGAGCTGGAAGACCGCGGTATCGTAATTCGTCATAGGTGAAGCGGGAGTCCCTTTGCCCGCTGTCGCGTGGCTGACGTGTGCGTGTTGCAGCAGCGCCGCTGGCCGCCGAGGCCGTGCTGCCGTGCCCGGGCCGCGTGCGCGCGCCGCCGCAGCCGGGCTCGTAGGCGTAAGTGCGACGCGGGGGCTGCCCCTCGCGCGTTTGCTGTGTGAAGAGTTTGAGTGCCCTCCTTTCAGTTTGCAGTTTGCGACCCCCTTGCAGAGCGCTCCGAGGGATCGGTCGTTTGGAGATTGTGCAACCGCTGTTTTGTTTTTTTTGCATCGCTTTCCTCGTTTGTATCCCGTTTTTAGTTGAAGCCCCCACATTATACAGGGTGTTAGGTAAATGGGTATATGAGCCGACACTAACCCATGTTAACATGGGCGTATAAATGGTATGGTGAAGTCAGAAATTTGATATCTTCATTTTAATTATTTTAATTTTCATACAAATCGGATTTTATAAAAATTTTCTTGTATGAAAATAAAAAAAATTAAAATGATGAAATCAAATTTCTGACTTCACCATACCATTTATATGCCCATGTTAACATGGACTAGTGTCAGCTCATATACCCATTTACCTAACACCCTGTAGAGATGGTCGTGATGTTCAAATATGACAACCCTTACAAAAGAACATCCTGGCTGAGAAGACGAGTCCATGACACTCGATCTCAGCACCTGCTACCTATACAATAAAGTGTTTTTAAAACGTTCGAATGCGGCTTGCACATTCTGCATGCGGACTTTCCAGGAGCTGAATCCACAGCCGCGTTGTAACCTTCGATTGTTGCAGGCGGACGGGCGCGGGCGGCGCGGCCCGAGCGGCTGGAGGAGGAGTACTACGCGCGCGACCGCTACGGCCGCTACGGGCGCGAGTACGAGCACTACGCGCACGAGTACCCGGCGCACGAGCCGTGCGAGCGCGACTGCGGCCGCGACTACACGCGCGACGCCTACCGCGACTACCGCGACTACCGCGAGCCGCGCCCGCCGCGCCGCGACCGGGACGACGACCTGGGGCCCTCGCGACGCGCGCTCAACGCGGTCTAAGCCGACCCTGCTAGGGGTGCACTCGACCTCGACCGCCGAGGATTCCGTCAACTGGGACCGCAATTAACTGGGACCGCGGTCCCAGTCGCCGGATGCGTAAAAATTAAATAATTTTCTTCCGGCGACTGGGACCACTCGTGGATTTTAGTACTGTACCAATTTTAGATTGAATATTTTCTTTTAAGTTATCTATGAGTGGTCCCAGTCGCCGGAAGAAATTTTTTTTTTTATGGATACGGCGACTGGGACCGCGGTCCTAGTTAATTGCGGTCCCAGTCGCCGGACGCCTCGACCGCCAACCGCCCGACCTGTCGCGAGCGTTCTGCGGGCTTGGAACGCTGCCGGCGGCTCGGGCGCGGCGGTTGACGCCTCTGTAAATGCTCACTTAATTTAGCGCGTCCCCTGAACGTATCCTCGTTTGGACGCATTTTTGGTGTCGACGAGCTCGACTGCGCCCGCTCGGCTATTTAAGGATTCAAATATTGCGTGACGTATTTTAAGGGGGCTCCTCGCGGCATATCTTGTGAGTTAGGGAGCTGGTGACGGTTTTGTTGATTTACGCGCGTACTATATTGTGAACGGTGAAAATCTGTTTATAACACCGTTTGACGTTGTTTACGTTGCGAACAGTGCGTTTTTGAACGTTTCATTTGTTTTAACGCGGACGTGTACGCCGGGCACGAGATGTCGTTTTTCCTATTCCGATGAGTGCGAGGCTTTTGATTTTATTTTTGATGTTCCCAGTTTTTTATGTTGTGCGTGTGCTAGGTGCGTGTGGTTGCCGGCGGTCGCTTGATCCGGAACGAGCTCCCTGGCGGCTGTTTCAACGTGGTGCTTCTGAAACCGGTCGTTCTGCGGTTTCGCGTATCCTTAACCTTTTATTAGCGGAGCGCTTCATTCGCTGAGCTTCGGGCCGCGATCGTACGCCACGACCAAACACCCTTATCTACGATTATTTCCACCTAAGTTAAAACTATACATACTTACCTACCTATCCGTCTGTAGGATACTGCGAGTCTATGATGAGTATTGATGAGTGAAGGGGGTTGTGGTGATGTTTTAATTGTTGATCCGTGGATACCACTTCTTTTTAATTTATTTTGAATGTATATAATTCATATAACTAAGATTAAAAATCAGCCAAAAATAAAAGTGGATTTTCGGTATGCTTGAATTATTTGGTTACTTAAGTATTTAGATATTTTAGTGGATGATTACTTGTGTGTTTATCTTCGACGGGTTTTTGAGGGTATATGGGATACAAGAACTGACTGTCAACTTACAACCTCACGTAAAGGGCCATGTAATTTGAATTATAAGAACAAAGATGTCTAATAAATAATTTGATAAGGTTTGGATAAGTTAACTGCTCAAAATTATTCAACTTTCATCTTTGGATCTTATTGACATAAAGTTTATTGTTTGTATATCCGTGATTCGGTTCTTGTAATGTTGTCAAATAGCCAATTTATGCTTGTGGACAACACAGATACTTATGAATAAGCTGCAAGCGTGTATCCAGCTTTATGGGTGTCGGAGTCTGTCAGTTGACAGTCAGTCGTACGATTGGTCGCGTCGTACGGTCGCGCTCTCTCGGCCTGCCCACGACTAGCTAACTAAGAATTACGGCTGCGACGTCGGAATCCACCAAAGCTGAGAGTAGAGTTGTGCTGTAAAAAATAGTTATTNGGAATCCACCAAAGCTGAGAGTAGAGTTGTGCTGTAAAAATAGTTATTTGAACACTACCTACCTCTTCGAAAAATAAAACTAGAAGAGGGTGTTGTTGTAATCCAATATTAAGCGCCCTCTATTTACTTATAAGCAACTGTTTGTAAAGCGCCATCTATGGTTCGAGAGTCGGGACAAACTAATTCTTACAAGGAACCATAGATGGCGCTACATCTATGCGTGCTGCTTTTTATCGATTGTCCGCATGCGGTCGCCATTACAATTCAAGACACTGTACCTGTAACGAAATTTGTTGGAAAGAAAATCTGGAGACCTTGTTGTAAGTATTTGTATTTTCACACGCAGTAGTTAATGGCCGCGTGCGGACCGATCGATAAAAAGTAGCATGCATAGATCGCGCCATCTATGGTTCATTGTAATAATTAGTTTGTCCCGACTCTCGGTACCTAGTTAAGTAAGAAAGGAAGAAGAACCATAGATGGCGGTTTACAAACAGTTGCTTATAAGTAAATAGAGGGCGCTTGATATTGGTTTACAACAGGGAGGTATAAAAGATTCAAGCAAGTTTTCTGATTAGTGTGATCAGAGCTAATATGAGCTCTACCATAGTTCAGCCCCGCTGTAGTCAGCTGCACCTCTCAGCTTTGGTGGTGATCTCCAATTTAGCGATGCTGTATACCTGACATTTATTTACAATTACCTTACTTGTTTTCTGTCTATATTCCGATTACTGAATGATTCATGTTTGTATCAATGTAAACATTTTTAAGCACTTAGTATTTCACCCAGCCCAATGATGGGAATTTCAATAATCCATGGCGGTCAGATGTGAATGTCGTGGGTAAGTCGTAGCCGTTATTTATCGGTCAGTCGCCGCTACGTACAGCTGAGCACAGCATCGCCCAGTCGTACGGCTAGCCGCGACCGACCGTTGCGTGGCGCTTGCGAGATGCCACGCGTGGCATCGTGTCATCGTGGCGTCGTGGCACCTCGCGGCGCGTCGTGGCAGGCCGGCGACACGCTTCGCCGGAGCGCGCTCGGCGCGGATTCGCGTCGATTGTATAAATTTTACATAAACAATAATTTTAGTACCGTTAGATATTATCCGTTTCCCATTTTTGAACATACTCTGTAATTATATTGCATCGTCTGTACTTCATTGTTGCAATCATTTGTAAATAAAATACTTTATATCGACTTGCCTTTTAATATGATTCTCTGTCGGGTAAATAAAACTGTCCGGTTAGTATGAAACGTATCGCAGTTTATTGAAGTAAATTCGATGATGCTTTACATTCAGCAAGCGAAGCTCGCCTCTCCTCTCGCGTCCACAAATAAATTACAACATTACAATACATAACAGATAAATAACTCTAATTTCATATACTCTCTCGCTGGCCTCTTTGGTGTCTACTAGCTAAATTATATACAATTTTAGTATTTTTTATGTAGGTAACAACTACAATTTGAAACGTGACACGTGAGGTGAAAGATTTGGTAGACTAGAAAAACTTTTCTATTACAATTTTATCATATTCGATATACTTTCGTGTAATTGATTACAGGGTTACAACGTGAACGACAAAGCAAGTCTCATTCGGAGTTGCGTCCGATGAAATACGATTACTATTACAAGCGTACATTTCACCTCAGACATTCAACGTCACTTACATCGAGCGTTAATTCTGTGTCAACTAACACTGTTAGTCGGGAGCCGTGCCGCGACATCTCTTTGGTTTCGCTCCGCGCAGAGATTCACCGCTTCGCCTCGGGGCGTCGGTATTTACACTATGTACACAGGGAAGTCTCTTCGCGGGCCGGGCCGGGCCGGGCCCGTGTCGTGCCTTAACCCGGGGTCGGGGGCCCGGTCAGATGTACAAGTAGTCGTTTTTGGTTTCCTTGCAGTATCCGATGCTGGGATACTGGTAGACGGGGTGGTAGCGGCGCTCGGCGTCGGCCTCGAGCGACAGCGCGGACAGCGCGCGCGAGGGTTCTTCGAGGGGGTCGGCGGGCCGGGGGGCCTGGGGGGCCTGGTGGGCGGGCCGGGGGGCCGGGTGGGGGGCCGCGCGCGGGTTGCGGCGCACGCGGAAGTGGCAGTCGGCGTCGGCCGCCCACGCGCGCTGCACCTGCAGCGGCAGGTCGTCCGGGTGCAGTTTGCGCTCGTACTCTTGAGCGGGACAGACCTGGAACGATAACATTTGCCGTTTCATTTTTTATTCAGATTATCTAGCTGACATTATCCTATCCTAGGCCTCCTAAGGGCATCATCGTCTCTACATAAGAATAAAGAGAAAGTAGACTATCACTGCATCTAATCGGTCTTTTTAAAATTTTCTCGACTGACTAGGAAACTACCAAACGACTAATGTCCGGTCGCCGAGCTCATAGAATTTCGTCCAATGACCCCAAGTTACCCATTCTTATCGCTCGCGCGTAATTATCCTCGTAAGCCCGGATGTGCCTCAGAAGGAACTGAAACTTTGTAGTCAGTAACGCCGAGACATTTTCGGAGGTGATTTCGAAGTATCGCCGGATGTGCCTTCAGAGGAACTAAAACTTTAGCGATAAATTTAAGTTCATAAATTCGCGCCTATCGAAAAAAAAGATTGATAGTCTATGGCTCAAAGTATTCAAAATCAGGTATCCGAACTTATTAATATAAAAAAAACAAAATGTCACTGTCAAATTATCATTTTTCTTTGACAAGGTGGTTCCTCCGAGAAGACGTGATGTGCGATAATTTTTTTTTCTTCACGTAAACGTAGTTTAATTGCAAAACTGACCAGTATAATTTAAGTTAAAATACTGCTAAACAAGCAAAAAAATTATTTTTCCCAATTTGAAGTAGTTTTGTAAGATTTTTTTTCGTTTGAAAATAACAGTTCTTTGCAAGGAACATTCGGTCTTGATGGTGAAAGTTTTATTTTTGTATATTTTTTCTATTGAGATGGGATTGAGTATTGGACTTTTAAAATTATGATATGATTAAGAAAATTTACCATGAGAACGTTCTGTTTTTTAGTTTAGTAAATATTATAATTAACATGAATATTCACTTTACTTCTTATACATTCTAAGCTATCATTAGTGTATTTTATAAATCCGATAGTACTTTTAAAAGTACTAATTATGAAACATTAAATAAAATTAAAACCGTTGTACCTTTTCAGTTACATTAATTAATATCATTATTGTATCTTTATGTAGTATTAATTTATTAATAATGTTACATTTATGTTTTACTTTAAAGTATAAAATACAATTTATTGCCTTTTTCTTTTTAAAGTCTGTAATACCGAATGTTCTTTTAAGAGAAAACATTTTTTTATTATTTTTCACGTAAAATAAGCTCTATGCACTATTATATAGGGCCCCTGAAAATATGAATGCAAAAGAAAATCTCTAACATAGAATTTTTTTTACTCGAAGTGCTCGGCGTTTACTACTACAAATTATTCGTTCTTCTGAAAGCACATTCGGCGATACTTAGAAGTCGACAAAATTTACTCTTCGGTCTTACGAGGTTATATTGCTGTCGCACTCGCACGCTCACCGCAACTGCCCGTTGCACAGTCGCCTATGGGATAGGATGGGTAGCTTGGGGTCATTGGACGAAATTCTATCTGCTCGGCGACCGGACTTTACCAAGCTAAGACTCGGCGAGCTTGCCATCTGTCTACTCGCTGGCAAGGATGTGTTTAGTGTACACGATGCACAATTCGCCTCGTATAGTGAGAACCGCTCGACGCCCTCGGTGGAGTCGTAGCAGGATGGCCAGCAGCTCGCCAACTAGTCTACTCGCTGCGATCATTAGTGTTGTATGTACGAGGCGCAACTAACCTCGTACAGTGAGAACCGCTCGACGCTCGGTGGAGTCGTAGCAGTGCAGCAGGATGGCCAACAGCCCACTGGCTGCCTGCTCACTATGAGGACGTATGTACGAGGCACAACTAACCTCGTATAGCGAGAACCGCTCCACGCCCTCGGTAGAGTCGTAGCAGGTTGGCTAGCAGCTCGACGGCGGTGGTCTGCTCGCTGACCACGCTACGAGGCAGAACTGACCTCGTATAGCGAGAACCGCTCGACGCCCTCGGTGGAGTCGTAGCAGTGCAGCAGGATGGTCGGCGGTAGTTTGCTCGCTGACGATGCTACGAGGCACAACTAACCTCGTACAGTGAGAAACGCTCGACTCCCTCGGTGGAGTCGTAGCAGTGGAGCAGGATGGCTAGCAGCTCACTGGCTGCCTGCTCACTGTGAGGACGTATGTTGCATATACGAGGCACAACTAACCTCGTATAGCGAAAACCGCTCGACACCCTCGGTGGAGTCGTAGCAGGATGGCCAGCAGCTCGCCAACTAGTCTACTCGCTGCGATCATTAGTGTTGTATGTACGAGGCGCAACTAACCTCGTATAGCGAAAACCGCTCGACACCCTCGGTGGAGTCGTAGCAGTGCAGCAGGATGGCCAACAGCTCGTCGGCGGTGGTCTGCTCGCTGGTCAGGATGCACTTGTACTGCGACGAGGACATCAGCGCCGAGTCGTAGATCTTCACCAGGCCGCCTGGACGCATCTGCAGCGAAAATCTGAAATGGGGAAATTGAAATTTAAACGTAAGAATATTTTATAAGTTGGAGGTCTGCCGTAATATCGCTCAATATTACAAAACCACACTCAAATAATTACCCTAAAATCCAGAATAGATTGTTGCTAAACCCGGGTAGGGTTTTTAGTATAATTTTCTAAGATGTACCTTTTGAGACTGCTGGTTGAAATAAGTAAGCGCCTGATACTATGTATAATGCAACAAGTATTAGCAACACAAAATGTATGCAACTTTGCAGTATTATGTTTATCAGGCGTTCGATGAAGCTTTGTACGAACGACATACCTATTGATATGAAAAATATGACACGTTACAAGTATGATTACGACAATATCCATAGGCCACACGCATCACGTCGCCTTGTTTGAACTCTTCAACAATAACACCATAAACTAGTCCCCTAAAATAGTGTCAAGTGTCCAACACGAGTCTTCAATACGCCATGCACACAATATTGCTGTCATCGGTGGAACGTGATCCATATGGTCAACAAAGTGTTGTTCGGAGCATTTTTACTGCACTTTGTTGAACAGCGGTTCTGTAACTGGAACAACTAACTACCCCCATAAACTTAAAGCAGTAGTGGCTCGAAATATTTGAGAGATTTTGTCTCGAATTCTTTTAACGCTACAGATGTAATGCCGAATTTAATTAATTTTAAGTGGTTGCCTTCGACAGCTGAAAAATCAATATCCATAGACGCAATGCTAAAATGAAAAGTTAAGATTATTAAGAGTCATTATAACGCTAAGATTATTGAGTATGTCAGTGTAAGAAGGATATCGTCACTCTATATTATAGAGTCTATAAGATTGAAAACTAAATAAACCCTATTTTAGATCCTATTAAAATTTTTCAATATTTGTTTAACAAGCTGCTAAACAAAAGACAAACATGACACCCTTTCCAAAAGGTCATAATTGTAGACACTTATAAAAAGTAGGCGCTGACCCCGAAAAGGTTGGGGACAGGTGGCCAGTGTTTACGGACGGGAATAGACGCCGGAAGGGGACAGAGCTATTTTTCGAGAGCCGGCGATGGTGGTCCGCTAAAGAAGTGCCGAGGGACGACGCGGCGATCTGCCGGGAACACCAGCTTTGGCTAAACACACAGGTTTCTCCTTAAGGAAACGGTCGAAGATAAGAATAAACATAGTTTGGCATTATCATGATGCAAAGAAAATAAAAAAGAACGGATTCAGTAATCAGAACATGCCTTTGCATTTTGCAATTTCTAAAAGATTTTCCAGCGTATAAAATTGTACGTAGGTTGACACGAATGAAACCTAGGTATGTCCATAAAAGGCTAATAATAAATTGTCAATATCCTTAAAATAACAAATAAACAAGTAAATATTACGTAAGTGGAGGTATTTTGTGGTTAAAATAAGTTGTTTTATGTGTAAAGTGTTATTAAATTAATAATATTATGTTTAAGTAGGTACAGGTGGGTTTAGGTAGGTAGGCTTTTGCTATAAACTACTGACACACAACGTAAGATTAAAACTACTTGAAAAGATTACTATTTAAGCATGTAGGAAGTAGCTACCTATATTTATTTATCACATCCTATTTTGATAAGAAACCCAAAATCAACATTGGTATTCCAAATTCTTGTGTAAACAACAAAATTTGCACACTTTGGGCATGTAAGATATTAAAATATCTTGCGTGAATGATAGCAAACATCGATATTTTTTTTAATACACTGTTAAATAGCTGTAAAAGCTTACTTTAGATTTAGTTTGAAGTATTGACTATGTAGCTGCCTTTCCAATAGTTCGAATGCAAGCCGTACGTGACTGGACCTAAGTAATCCAATATTTCTGTATTGTTTACCACCTACAATGGAGGTTTTCCTTTAAAACCGGTCATGTGCGGTCATTCTCGGTACGCACTGTAAGTACACCTTACAAATAAGTAAACTACAAGTAATGTCTCACTCACTCCTTCAACAAAAGCTTTGATGTTAAGAAACAAGTTTTTTTTATGTTATTACCTACCTTCGTAAGTAATACAAATAAAACAAATGTACCTCTAATAGGACAAAGTAATGCCTATTAAAGAGCAGTGTTTAGGGAGTAGCTTAATTTAATTTTAATAAATTAATCGTACAAAATATCTTAAGCTAACTATTCGCAGTTGGGTCTAGAAAACGACTGAAACTACGACGACTACTTTTGCGGGTAAACAAATTCTCACTCATTCACTGCAAGTCGCACGTAGATGTTATTTACATAGAAGCCTTGCAGTAACCACGCAGAGTTTATTGGGCGTTAAAATAAACTGCGTAAACGCATCAGCAAGTCTAGTACTTAGGTAAAATAGAGAATCTTGCGTGCAGAATACACTGAGCGTAATAATCATTTTGTAAGTAGAGAATAGTAATTACATCTGTCCTTTTGGTGAATCATTAATAACAACTAACTAGGTAAACTAGGTTAATTTACATACACTTCAAAAGCATTATTACGAACATTTGTGAATTATGTATCCTACTATGTAATATTAAATGTGAAAGATTGTTAGGAATTAGGATGCATGAATGAATTATCAAACCACTGAGCCGATTTAATTTTTTTGTATACCTAGTTAAGTCCCAGGTAAAAATGGGATAGTAAAATTCAAATTCATTTTTTTTTCCTGTATTTGGAACTGTGATAAGGGACTGTGTGACAGGCCGAAAACACGCGGGCGAAGCCACGGCCAAAAGGCAAGGCACTTCATAAACAACAGTTTATACAATCTTAAAGCCAACTCACTTTGAGTATCCTTTCGGATGGCAGGCCTGCAGCGCGGCGGGGCGGGCGTCGTCATCCAGCACCAGGGTGGTCCTTAGGCCCGCGGCGCGGACCCTGACCTCCATGCTCAGGTAGAACAACCGCGGGTCCCGGTGCCTCATGCGGAACTTGCCCAGGAGTGTGGAGACCACCTCCCGGGCGCGAGTGCCCCACGTCACGGAGAGCGTCTTGTATTCGATGTCCGGCCGGAGGCACCGCGCGTAGACCTTGATCGTCGTCTGGAATAAAATGTTTACTGTTAATTGCTGAAGAATATAAAGATGATGATTCTTTTTTATGGTAGAAACTGTTTTTGAAGCCACGATAGCCGAACGGTGAAGGCGTCGGATTGGCCGACTCGTGATCCGGGAAACACGGACTCGGTCCCCGCCGCTGCTCGACTATTGTGATGAGCTCACTCGTCGTGATACAAGCATATTTAGATTAGTACGAGGGGCTAAAGGGACTATTAGTAATTTGTGTATTATCAAATTACTTATTAATCTTTAAAAAAAAACTAATTCTTTATTGCTCCATGTTGGTATACAAAGGTTTATCAAAGAAAGGAGAATGAATTTAATACCAACGAAAAAAAAAAAAAAAAAAAAAATTGAACTCGAGCAGACGTGTTTATATTGCTAGTGAATAAATTTTAAAGTTAATATACTTATAGCAGTGANACGAGCAAAAGGACCGTCACCTGGAGTAGAATTTTTTGATTTTTTTTAAATGCCTATTATTTTTAAAATATGCCACATAGATTTTTTTTTATATTTTTCTGATAACCAGCACAACTTACCTCAACACCCAGTTCCGGCTTGACGTTACATTACGGGACACCCTGTATATAGATGTCAGTGTAAGAAGGATATCGTCACTCTAGAGTCTATAAGATTGAAAACTAAATAAACCCTATTTTAGATCCTATTAAAATCTTTCAATATTTGTTTAACAAGCTGCTAAACAAAAGACAAACATGACACCCTTTCCAAAAGGTCGTAATTGTAGACACTTATAAAAAGTAGGCGCTGACCCCGAAAAGGTTGGGGACAGGTGGCCAGTGTTTACGGACGGGAATAGACGCCGGAAGGGGACAGAGCTATTTTTCGAGAGCCGGCGATGGTGGTCCGCTAAAGAAGTGCCGAGGGACGACGCGGCGATTTGCCGGGAATACCAGCTTCGGCTGAACATTTACAGGTTTCTCCTTAAGGAAACGGTCGAAGATAAGAATAAACATACTTAGTTTGGCATTATCATGATGCAAAGAAAATTAAAAAAAAACGGATTCAGTAATCAGAACATGCCTTTGCATTTTGCAATTTCTAAAGGATTTTGAAAAAAGCAAATTATCCAAGCGTATAAAATTGTACGTAGGTTGAAACGAGTGAAACCTAGGTAGTATGTCCATAAAAGGCTAATAATAAATTGTTAATATCCTTAAAATCCCAACTAATATTATAAATGCGAAAGTAACTCTGTCTGTCTGTCTGTCTGTCTGTCTGTCTGTCTGTCTGTCTGTTACGCTTTCCCGCTTAAACCTCGCAACCGATTTTGATGAAATTTGGCATAGAGATAGTTTGAGTCCCGGGAAAGAACATAGGATAGTTTTTATCCCGGTTTTTGAAACAGGGACGCGCGCGATAAAGTTTTTCTGTGACAGACAAAATTCCACGCGGGCGAAGCCGCGGGCGGAAAGCTAGTAACAAATAAATAAGTAAATATTACGTAAGTGTAGGTATTTTGTGGTTAAAATAAGTTGATTTTATGTGTAAAGTGTTATTAAATTAATAATATATTATGTTTAAGTAGGTACAGGTAGGTTTAGGTAGGTAGGCTATTGCTATAAACTACTGACACACAACGTAAGATTTAAAAACTACTTGAAAAGATTATGTATTTAAGCATGTAGGCAGTAGCTAAATGTATCTATCACATCCTATTTTGATAAGAAATCCAAAATCAACATTGGTAACATTCTTGTGTAAACAACAAAATTTGCACACTTTGAGCATGTAACATAAAATATCTTGCGTGAATGATAGCAAACACCGATGTATAAATGTATTACACTGTTAACTAGCTCTAAAAGCTAACTTTAGATTTAGTTTGAAGTATTGACTATGTGTGTACCTACCTGCCTTTCCAATAGTTCGAATGCAAGCCGTACGTGACTGGACCTAAGTAATCCAATATTTCTGTATTGTTTACCACCTACAATGGAGGTTTTCCTTTAAAACCGGTCATGTGCGGTCATTCTCGGTACGCACTGTAAGTATTATACCTTACAAATAAGTAAACTACAGGTAATGTCTTACTCACTCCTTCAACAAAAGCTTTGGTGTTAAGAAACAACTTTTTTTTAAGTTATTACCTACCTTCGTAAGTAATACAGATAAAACAAATGTCTCTAATAGGACAAAGTAATGCCTATTAAAGAGCAATGTTTAGAGAGTAGCGTAATTTAATTTTAATTATTAAACCTTCAGAATATGTGAAGCTAACTATTCGCAGTTGGGTCTAGAAAACAACTGAAACTACGGCGACTACTTTTGCGGGTAAACAAATTCTCACTCATTCACTGCAAGTCGCACGTAGATGTTATTTACATAGAAGCCTTGCAGTAACCACTAGAGTTTATTGGGCGTTAAAATAAACTACGTAAACGCATCAGCAAGTCTAGTACTTAGCTAAAATAGAGAATCTTGCGTGCAGAATACACTGAGCGTAACAACCATTTTGTAAGTAGAGAGTAGGTAATTACAGAATTTGTCCTTTTGGTGAATCATTAATAACAACTAACTAGGTTACCTACCTACCTATCTACTCTTCAAAAGCACTTCAGTGAGTTATGTATCCTACTAATATTAAATGTGAAAATTTGTGAGGATTTTTGTTACTAATTTTACTCTTACACCATTTAAATTTTTGTACCTATAGTCCCAGGTAAAAATAGTTAAATTCATTTTTTTTTTCGGCTTTGGAAGACACGCACGATAAAGACAACATACCAAAAACACGCGGGCCAAATCACGGTCAAAACCAAGTCACTAATGGTGGCCATACACGTTAGGGTTTGCATGATGGTTTTGACCGTACATGCTTAACCGACATGCAAATCCTAGCGTGTATGTTATAAAACTGTTCAGTTATTGGTGCGTGTACATGCAACCTAACGAATATCAAAAAAGATATTTTTGCCGCTCGGTTATGTTTGCGCACATGCATAACCGAGCGTGTGTGCGCCCTCTCATGCTTGCATGCACAGTTTTCTCTCAGTCTCCTATAGTCTGTGGCAGTGAATGGTGGTGAATATTTAAGAAACATGTGTTCTCCCTGTTGCAAGAAATCTTAATGTTACTGCTAGGTTTGGGCTGTGCGTATATAGATCACTGTCAGTCAGTCAGTCACTTTTGAGTTAAATAAATTTATATTGTACATGCAAACCCTAACGTGTATGCGTTGTAGATAACTCGGTTATACCTGTCGGTTAAGCATGTACGGTCGTAACCATCATGCAAACCCTAACGTGTATGGCCACCATAAAAATCACAATTTTACAATTCTAAAATAAATCTTAAATCCGACTCACTTTGAGTATCCTTTCGGATGGCAGGCCTGCAGCGCGGCGGGGCGGGCGTCGTCATCCAGCACCAGGGTGGTCCTTAGGCCCGCGGCGCGGACCCTGACCTCCATGCTCAGGTAGAACAGCCGCGGATCCCGGTGCCGCATGCGGAACTTGCCCAGGAGTGTGGAGACCACCTCCCGGGCGCGAGTGCCCCACGTCACGGAGAGCGTCTTGTATTCGATGTCCGGCCGGAGGCACCGCGCGTAGACCTTGATCGTCGTCTGGAATAAAATGTTTACTGTTAATTGCTGAAGAAGATTATAATTATGATGATTCTTTTTTATGAAAAATCAAATTCAATAAATTTTTGAAGCCACGATTGCCGAACGGTGAAGGGGTCGGACTGGCCGACTCGTGATCCGAGGAACGCGGATTCGGTCCCCGCTCAACTATTGTGGTGAGCTCACTCGTTGACAGAAGCATATTTAGCTTAGTACGAGGGGCTAACGGGACTATTAGTAATTTGTGTATTATCAAATTACTTATTAATCTTTAAAAAAAAACTAATTCTTTATTGCTCCATGTTGGTATACAAAGGTTCATCAAAGAAAGGAGAATGAATTTAATACCAACGAATTAAGGAAAGTAGTCCTGCGTTATAAACGCTAGGTGTTAGGTTATCAGTGGACGATGATTCAATAAGTAGACCTACTACACCAATTATTCATCCTGCCTACTATACCTAATACACAAGAGGAAAACTTTCGACAAGTGCTGTCATAGGATCATCCACTCACAATACACAAGCAGTAAATTCACATTGTAGAGTACAATACAATAAAAGACCAGTCATTTTGAACACAAAAGAGTTACCACAGAAGCCTTGAGTGCAGTAGATCACAATTTTGACGACATCGAAATTGCAACTACCCGCACGCGCCATTGCGCAAATCCGAATTGCACGGCGACAAGTAATAAAATTATTACGGTTGCCGTAGTATAATGTCCCTTATTTTGGTTATGGTAAAGTAGAGATTATATTGTGTATGAGCAGAATGCAAAGATTGCAGGAAACCAGATTCTCACGAGAATCAGCCGCGGGCGACAGAGCAGGTTCTGTCACAAGCGCGAAAATATGCAATGCGCCGTGAATAGGGACTCGATATCAAATTTATACAGTGGAATAGAAAATATTATGTAAAGCCTATCCATACTTACGTATAATTACTCATATTTGAAAATACAACCAATCTTACTTGAATTAAGCAGGCCTATTCTATGCACGTTTGAGAACTGTTATGAAGGTAAACTACGATACCACGATGAAGCCGGGAAATACAGCCTGTATCCTGTATTTCCCGGCTTCATCATTCGTTAACATTATTAAAAATATTCGCACCAGTCCTTTTCCGGGTTTCATATAAAATATTACGAGCTTTTGCACCACAGCCGAAAGCAACTGTAACTGTAAATATTTATACTGTAGGTATTCTACTCACTGAGCACACTGCACTCGTATCGAAATTTTTACAATAAAAATGGAAACCCTTAGGCCGAAAGTTGTTTTCTACCAAGTGAGGCGTAAGAACAATACACTATCCAAAACTACCCACCACACAAATCGCATCAAAGTTCACATTTTGTAAAAAAAAAAAAAAAGGGTAGACGCACAATTTTATTTCTCCTTACAACGCGATAATATTTCCACTAACGTAACACATCACTATTATATTTAACTTACGTGAATATTATGCGGGTGCAACGCTAACCGCATGCGCGGTGCAGGGATCGGCGTGGCCATTGCGCGGGCGCACGCAGCGCTGTCCCACGCGGGCGCGGCGGGCATGGCTGCACTGGGACACTGACGCGTACGCACTGCTCGCCGGCCGGGCCGCGACTAACCAGCGAACTAACTACTACGGGTCCACAATACGGGACGCTCGCAGGAAGCACCCGCCCTCGTCAACAAAGGGTGTCGATATACCGCCAGGGCTGACACAGATATCGATTCTATAATAAACATAATGATGAATCCATTTATCGAAAATAAAGTTTCTTTAACAGAAACGTCATTTGTTTACCAGGAACTAAGAAGTTCTAATGACGTGCTGTGGTGACTCATAATATAGGTAAATGTTCAATAAACTATTTATAAGTCCGATAAATGCGGAGGAATTTATTGAAAAGACATGGAAAGACTTTTAAAATCAGACTAATTGAGGTGATTTATAATCGAAATTGTTTTAATAAAGATCTAGCTAGAGTTTACTTAAGCAACAACTTAGGGTTCAACAACCTTCAACTCTTCGTTCATAACAAATCTGTTCAACAGCTCCAACAAAGCAACAGAATTTAATGGAGATTCTCAAGATAGGCAGATAGCAACCCTACAAAGCAACCACCTGCCGGGTGAAGTGGCAGGAAGCAATATTATAGAGGGCAGTATTCACCCGCGGGCCCAATACTGCGCCTGCGACAACACGAGCGAAGGAAGTCACTTCAATGGGCATTGTAGTCGACAAATTATCGATTTGTTGCATAAATCGGATCATATCCATCACTCTTGCATAGTAGGGCTACTGCATTGATTGCGGATGTATATTGTCAAAGCTATTGAAAGCGAATTGGTTACGGCAGAACCTCATAAAAACAGTTTTAAAGTATTTTTTCACGATTGAGGAAGTTGTGGGTTGCTCATTTTTTGTTGTCATATTCGTATCTCACTGGAGTATTTCAAAGTCCTTTGTTAATTTTAATAAAGTATCTAGAGGTACATTATTTTTGAATTAAGATAATTTATTGTAATACTAGCTGACCCGGCGAACTTTGTTCCGCCTTAATGGCAATAAATAAGCAGACTTTTTTTTTAATTTCGAACGGGATAAAAAGTATCCTATGTCCTTCTCCTGGCTCTAAACTACCTCCCTGATAATTTTCAGCTAAATCGGTTCAGCCGTTCTTGAGTTATAAGTGGAGTAACTAACACGACTTTCTTTTATATATATAGAAAATATGTACATATTTCACAAGATATTTTAGTCTTATTTTAGTTTTGACAAAGGTTAATCTTAAAGTTCTATTCGTTTACATGACGTCCTAATTGTCGTAGTTCCCAGCGATCGCAAGCGCACCTTCAACAAATCGATTGATTACACATCTCATTTCTTCACTATGATCCTACTACAAGAAGGATTATGATCGATTATAACACGCGATATGTTCGGATCGAATGCGATCGAGCTTAACTCGCGCAAAAAACGATCTTGCGCCGCATGTTTCCCACGAGACCGTCGTCTGCGGCGAAGACGGTCAACCTGTTAGCGAAATTGCCATTCCTCAAATTCTTTTCAACAATAGGGATATTTTGAAAACGATCTACATCAACATTTTTATCGGTTACAGAAGGCCATCTATTAGAAGATGACGAGATTTGGGATTAATGGCCAATAAATTCGGACGTGTCTGTAGTAAATCTAGCGATAAAGGAATTGCTGAACCTTACGACTACATATTTCATCTAATTCCCCTCTTCTTCTTCTTCTTTTCAGCCAAATGACGTCCACTGCTGGACAAAGGCCTCCCCTAATTCCCCTAATTATACAAAAGTCTGACGATTTCAATTATAGTTTAGTTAGTTCCTTTTCGTTCCTGGTACTTACTTGCCTATTAATCTGAGTGCTTACTTATTTCCTTATTTTAGGGAAGCTCACAGCATCCACAAAATTCAGCTCTGAAACTTATGACTTCTCCATTTCATGAGCACGCACTGAGAAAAATCAAATTAGTAAGTAGGTAGGTAGGTTACAGTATATCAAAACCTTTTCAAAACATGATAGACAACGCAAAGATATTTTCAAGCACGTTCGCAACAATATCATGATCAAGTACAGAGTACGAAGCTCACCGCAAGGAAAGTGTCGGGCCCAGTAAAAGTGGTCGAAGCGTCCTCAGAGGATGGAGGAAACGCAAAAAGCGCCGGACGCCGCCGGAATGCGGCCGCGGCGAGACTCGACAGATGCGCATGAGTTGATTCACAACTTGATTACAAATCTGGACTAGGACTAAGACAGACAAGCAATCAAAATGGGCCAAGACACAACCAGTATAATATCTAATGACGGACAACTGTCCGAACTCAAGATAGTCATCGTTTTAAAAACAAGTTCATTTTCTGACTGACATCTTTTGCCAAATGCTTTACCTATCAGTTTCTGTCAAATCATAATTTCTGTAAGAAAAAAAGAGTGATAAACAGTACCTATATTGTACTGTTTTATTTTTTATGCGTAGGTAAGCGTTGTTTGTGATGGATGAGCAAAATTTTCCGTGTTAGTACTTTTAACATTCTGGACTGTTAACAACTAAAATTGATCAGATCAAGGTGCTTTTTACACTTAGTAAACAAATTAGATTGGACAATTGGACTCGGTGCATGTTGGAGGCCGGATGAATTTATTGAAGGAAAGATTAAGCTGTCATGATGATTCTGTGATCACCATCAATAATCAGAAATGATATTACCGATACTGGCAATCTGCCGAAATCGCGGTTAAATTACATCTCAATATCGTAACAAGTGGAAAGCTCAACCGATTTGTCATCTGGGCCGCAGACCGCGGTGTACTGTCAGCAACTAAATGACTGATTAATTTATCTTTATTGCACACTGCACAAAACGGACACATAAAAGAAATACACGTTCGAAACAACACAACTAGGTTTTAACGCTATTAAGTGACCTGATCCAGACAACATAGGAAAAGCTTTTAAGCTTGCAGTCAACATTTAAGTATGACATTGACCCAATATCTAGTCATCATTACCTATTATTCAAGCGTTTCTTAGCTTCAATTTTGGTTAATTAGCTTCAATTACGTTGCTGTCTTTACTTTGCATGTAGCCCATGAAGAAGGTACGAAAGCCGTCCCTAATGAGACCGCACACCGCAAGCACGCGTGCGCAGACGCAGCTCATTGTTCGCGGCCCTGATTCGGTAATCTGTACTTTGGAGTTTTTGGAGTATATCGCCCAGAATCAGCCTACTTAGTTGTGAATAGGCTCATGTAGCCGACAATTTTATGGTGAGAGAATGAGGTGGCGAAACACCGAGCTTTAAGTAGTAGGTAGAGCATTGTCTTACTTGAAAACCGTCACAGGAATGTCATAATATTAGTAATAAAACGAATAAATTACCAATTTGGTAATAGATTATACGGAAGAAAAAGATTTCGTTTGGTTAGCGCCGCGCGAAATGGCCGCGGGTCAGTAAACAAAGCCGGAC